TTAGCACCAACAGACAGAGAAGCTGGTTATGTACTTTCTGAATCACAGGGAAAATTAAAAGTGAAAAAAATGTAGTCTCCGTGATATAACAAAAGGTAGCAGGGAAGAAAGGATGAAAAAAAATAAAACAAGCGCCTAGTACGATTTTTTTTTAAAGCACAAACATGACAGTCAAGGACAAAATGTAAATGGGTGACACACCCTTTAAACAAGAATGCTCGGTGTGGGCCAGAAGACTCAAACTGAAACTATATGTTGCGTATCGGAGACACAATTGAAATAAATGAACTCAAGAAAATTCAAAGCCAAGGGACGGCGCAGATAAATAGGAGGGCCTCAACTTCCATGCATCGAGCCCCAGGCAGCCCACGCAATCATGACTGACACCCTCAAAACCACAGAATGCAGACAGCAGCTGACTGCCAGCCAGCAGCCGGTGGCACCCCCACTTTTGCATCCATAGCCATTTTTTTTTCAGTTTGCTTGTGCCATTATTTAAATATTTCTTTGCAGAGGCTCTCAGTGGGTATTCTCAAGGACATTTGGGGTCCCCCAGAGCATTCGAAGGAGGGTGAGCAGCACTGACGCTTGGGGTCACTGCACAGTCGCAACGAGGCCACCCTGACTTGGTCTCTATTACTTACTGGACTTCTGGGTAATATTAGGTCTGAATAAAGGGTTTGGCTGCCTTTGAAAACCAGTATTTAATTACACTTCGCTCCTATTGTTTTATAAATATGTGGAAAATGGAAAAACAAGGTTGCTGACCGCTGTGGTAACAGCACAGGTCTCCTTTATACTTAGGAAATTAGTATAAACGTGGAAATCGTTAGGCGGACCCAACGTGGCTGGTCTTTGGCCCCAATAATTAAATTTAAGGCAGTCGACTGCATGTTTGAAAAGAACAAAACTAAAGCACATCCATAGAATGGTAGGAATGGCCTGGAATATTGAGCTGTCAAGGAGCAAAGTTCTTTGGAACACGCAATTCTCCGGTTCAACTTTCAAACAACACTTTGCCTTCATTACAGGTTTTCAGAAACAATTACATGAGCAAGTGAGGTTCTGTAGCTTAAAAACACAATGAAACGAAGACAGATGTGCTTCTGTGATTTCAAGTCATTAAACACCTCTCAGAGAGGGAAGGGATGATCTACAACAATGACAGAGCACTCATGAACATTTGCATTAGAAATAAAATAGCACCCAAAAAAGGAGAAATAAGAGACATAGTTTCCAAAACTCTTTCAGTCCTAAAAACGTCAAATAGGTAAAAAGTAAATGATAAAAATACCTCAACTCTAGAAGCAACAACGAGCTTAACGGAAAATGAGAAAAATGGGAAAGAGCCCACCTCATCAACATTAGGTCACACTGTCCAAAAGGTTCTAACTAATGTAATGAAACAAGCAAAACCCAGATAAGTCTCAGAAACTCTTAGATTGAGATTCAAAATACGGTTGCTTATAGATTACATAATTATTTACTAAGAAAATCCAAATAAACACTGAAAAGCTAATAAAACTAAATGTCTTTACATCAAAATCCATACCTTATAAACAATGAGTACATCTTACTTTTAAAGGCCCACAAAAAACATTTACAAAATCGATTATATTATGCACGAAAAAGACATCAATAAATTTCCCCAAAGTAGAATTTATATGTCCACATTCTCAAGCCACAAGAAAAGATAACCACGATTGAATTAAAAGTATAAACAACGTACAACTTAGAAACATTAGAAATGAGTTTTTTAAAATCAGCTCTACTTTTGCACATTTAACTCAGATAATCATTTCTTCCAATAAGAAGAAGAAATAAGCGTTATAACACATATTTTAAGGTACTGAAGACTACATATTAAAACGTGAAAATGCAGTCAAAATTGCAAACAGAAGCAAGTTTCATATTTTCATTATTAAAGAAGACTAACAATAGGGCATATGTGGACAAATCCATAAAACAAACTTAAAGAAAGCAGAAGAAAGAAATCAGTAAAGACAGACATTATTTAATTTGAACACAGGCACACAAAAACTGGTTGAACTGACAAGTTATCCCAAGAACAGATTATTTGAAAAACCTCTAAAATAGATACTCTTCTAGCTCATCTGGTACCAGAGAGATAAAGTATGCATATACAAAATTAAGAATGAAAAAACGGATTTAATCATAGAAATAAATTAAAATTCTAGTATAAAAGTACTATTTATAACCCTATGTGAATAAATGTTTAAATCTCAGAAAAATGGATTATTTCTAGGATAAATAATATCTAAAAACATGCGCCAGAACCAGTGCAAGGTACTCTCTTAATCCTCACACAGGTCCTCTTAGGGCTCTTGCAGGCTTTTGTTCTAATCACTTAACAAATGAGGAAACTAACATCTAGGGAAGTGACACAGTTTCCTCATCACGTAGAAAACGAGAGAGCCCAAATCATTTGTCTGATTCCAGTGCCTGCGCATTTAAACACTGAGCTATATTAGAACAAGAAGCAAAAATTCTAAAGATGTAGAAAACCTAAAGAATCCAATAAATACAGAAGAAATAAGAGATGTTGCCAAAGACTTATCCCAGGATAGTTACATAGGTGAGTTCTTTCAAGCTTTCATGGACTAAAGCATTCAAATAATGCATATATGGTATAGAACACAGGAAAAGATGGAATGTTCCCTAATTCATTTTACAAAGTCAGCATAACTTTGACACCCAACTTCAACAACAAATAGATCTGGAAAATTCTAAATGAAATATTAGCCTAGCAAATCTTGTAGTATATTAAAACAACAATACACCATGATCAAGTAGAATTCAATCCAAAAATGTTTCTAAGTTATAAAACACTATTTTAGTTTATTGCATCAACAGATCAACAGAGAAAAACAACATGAATATCTCTACAGATGTCAAAGAAGCATTTCATAAAATTCTAATGCCAATACTGATTTCAAAGTCTTATTTAAAGTCTTACATAAACTCAGAATAAATACTTCATTTATTTAAAAAATCTGAACTAAAAAATGATTTGCAACCATACTTAAGCGAACCAGAAACAAGACAAGATTTCTGTTATCAATAATAGAATGTTTTAGAAGATCTAGCCAATGCTATAAGACAAGGAAAAGGCATAGATGAGATAAAATGACAGACAAAAATTTCATTATATAGATATGAATTGCTTTTTTTTTTTTTTTTTCTTTTTTTGAGACGGAGTTTCACTCTTGTTGCCCAGGCTGGAGTCCAGTGGCACGATCTCAGGTCACTGCAACCTCCACCTCCTGGGTTCAAGAGATTCTCCTGCCTCAGCCTCTCAAGTAGCTGGGATTACAGGCACGTGCCACCATACCCAGCTACTTTTTTTTTTTTTTTGTAGATATGGGGTTTCACCATGTTGGCCAGGCTGATCTCGAACTCCTGACCTCAGGTGATCCGTCCACCTTAGCCTTCCAAAGTGCTGGGATTACAGGAGTGAGCCATTGTGCCCAGCCATGAATGACTCTTTACCTAGAAATTCCAAAACACTCAACTAGAAACTTGCAGAACAAATTAGAGAATTCCATAAGATGAACAGTAACAATGAATATATAGACAGTTTCCTACATACCAATAACAACCAGTTAGAAAATATAAAGAAAATGGATCAAATTCACAATAGAAGCCATATTTCATTCCTTGAAATAAGAACAACAAATCTTGAGTTTGTCAAATTTGACAATTTACGAATATATATGTACATAAAACCACAAAGTATCATGCAAAGCCTGTTTCAAAAAATATCAACTTTCCTTAAAATTGACAGTTTTATAAAAGTTCCACACAGTATTCATAAAGAATGTTTTTAACTTCACATCACTACAGTTCATCTGAAAGAATATACAAGTAAGACTAACAGAGAAAATCTTGAAAAATGAGAGTTGAGGAAGACTATTGCTGCTGAGTAATAACACATTTTAACAATATGACATATTAAAACAAAGCAATGACAAACCAATGGATAATGGAAAACCAGAACAAGAACGCAAACTATAAAAGTATCTAGCATGTAGTAAATGTGGAAGTGAAACAAAGTTATTTCTCACAATAATTAAGCTGATAAGTAGAGATTTAAATATAAAAGACGAAATCATAAAAGAACTCAAAAAAATTAAAGTCCAGTTTGGGAAAGGCCTTTCTGAGCTAAAAGAAAAATGCAAATGAAGAAACTATAAGGAAAAATTAGTGATAAATTTTTAGAACATAATAATTTTTAAAATAAAAAAATATTAACAAAATGGAATGGTAAATGAAAAAGTGGGGAGCCAGGTAATATACGATAGAAAAGAGTCACCATTCTTGTTAAAAAGGCCTTACAAAATCAAAATTAAAAATGAACACACCGATAGAGCAAAATGGGTAAACAACTTCCAGTTCAAAGTGGTAAACTGAATGAAGCTTGGCTACTCTGCAGGGAGCAGACAGTTCAAAACACCTGTTATTATTATCAGAGATTAAAGAAGCAATTGCATTCATAAAACAAATGTAATATTTAGAATATAATTTAAAAATTAAAAACGAGAAATACGAAAACAGAAATGAAAATAGTTAAAACATAAAGATAGGGAAATCCCTTTTAGAAACAGAACAAGAATACTTAAAGTTGAAAATCAAAGGAACAATATGGGAATATTAGAAAGCTAGTCAAGGAGTTCCAACATACGAAAAATAGAAATGCTAGGAAGAGAGGCTGGGCTCGGTGGCTCACTTTGGGAGACCAAGGTGGGTGGATCACTTCAGGTCAGGAGTTCAAGACCAACACGGCGAACCCCCCTGGCCAACATGGTGAAACCCCATCTCTACCAAAAATACAAAAATTAGCCAGGCGCGGTGGCACACTCCTGTAATCCTAGTTACTTGGGAGACAGGCAGGAGAACTGCTTGAACCTGGGAGGCAGAGGTTGCAGTGAGCTGAGATTGTGCCACTGCACTTCAGCCTGGGCAACAGAGTGAAACTCCACCTCAAAAAAAAAAAAAAAAAGAAAAAGAAAAAGAAAAAGAAAAAAAAAACGGCAGGAAGAGAAAACAAATATGAGGAAATGATCCAACCAGTTGTTTAACACAAGTTTCTAGAACTGAAGGACAAGTGTCTTCGGATTAAAAGAACCTGGAAAAATGGATAAACATAGATCTACATCAAGACAAAAACATGTGAAATTTTAAAACATTGGAAGACAATGAGAAAGTTCTACAAGTTCCAGAAAGGAAGAAAACAAATTACATAGAAGGGATGAGGAATCACTAAGACTTAAGACCTCTCGCCAACAGCATTGAAAGTCACAAGATAATGATTTATGCTTTCAAAATCTGAGCCAAAATAAAAGAAGGTTTCCAACTTCAAATTCTATACCCAGCCAAACTTTCAATGTCAATGTGGACTAGACATTTTCCTTTTTAGAGGCGAAAGGTCTCTAAAAATTTACCTTCCATTAAGCATTTCTACAGAAACTGCTAGAGGATGCACTCTAGCAAAACAAGGGAGTAAGCCAAAAAGGATGATAACACAGAATCTACAAAAGCAGGTAATCTACAAAATCCAGCTAAGGAGAGAGGCTCAAAGGAATCCTCAGAAGGAGAATGTCAAAGAGATACTAAGATGGTGTCCAGAAGCCTAAAGATTACCCAGTTTATAACAAAACCAGCCAGGAGGCTCTAGGAAGATATTTCTAGATAGGATAAAACACATTTTTAAAAAATTAAAAATAATGTGTATATATTGAAAGGCTAGTAATAAATCAGCTAGGCTTGTAAAAAAACTAACCAACCAATCAAAGAGAAAAAAATAGAAGGTAATTATTAACTCCCGAAGAAAAAATAGTCACGAAGGAAAGGTGAATCATAGTGCTATGTTGCTCAGATTTCAGCAGTGCTTACACTCTCATGAAAAGGTGAACTCTGAATTTGGATCAAACCCGAACTACGTACTAAATATATTGAGGATGGTGCACAGAAAGAAGAAAGGGGGGCACAGTGAGACCAAGGAGTCAAATCCTCATCTTCTACAGTCGCAAAGTCAAGATAATGCCTACGCCTCAAAAAAGAAAAAGAAAATCAAGAAGTAGAAGAGAAAAACAATGTGACTTAGATATACAAATGTAAATGTCAAGAGAACCAGTGAAAGGAGTTAGAAACTATTGGTTCCACTAAGCAGAAATTAGGGTGGAGCTGGGAGGGCTGGAGGCCTGATCCTGATGCTCTGCAAGGATCCTGTAGAACTCTTTGACTCTTAAAACGATGCATATGCATGTCTTTGATGAAAATAAAAACTAAATGAAAAATGAAAAGAACCTGAACTGGCAATTCAAATACAGATAACCAAAAAAGATAGGGAGAAATGTTCTTTATCACAGGTAATAAAATGATTGCCAACGAAAAGAACAAAATGCTGTGTTTTGACAAATTGACAAAGGTAATCAACCTCGATAATTCCCAGAAAAACAGGTACTTTTAAACTAATTCTGAGAATGTCAGTTGATACAAGTGTTAAGAGGGCAATTTGGCCATAAAACGCTCACAGCTTTTGACACGACATTTCACATTTAGAATGAACTGCAGAAGATGAATCAGACATGGACGTGACAATGAATAAACAGATGTCTGCCCCAACTTACACAATCCAACTTCTAAATGGATCTAAATACTCAATAAAAGCAAACCAATTAAATTAATTACAATATAGCCATTTGCTAGAATCCTATGTAACCATTAAAAAGCACAAGATAAGAAATTGCTTAATGGCATGGGAAATGTTCAGGATATATAATTAGTGGAAATAAAAAACAGGATGGCAATGATGAACTCAATTAAGCACGTACAGCCACATACACACCTAATTTATAGAAGAAAGCAAAAGGCAGAGGCTGGCCACCAATATGTTGGCAATGGTGATCTCTGAGTGGAGGAACTAGGGAGATTCTTGCTCTTACACTTGTCCAATATTTCAATATTGTTCAAGCTTTTTATAATAAACATGTATTGCTTTTTTAATGGGAGAAATATTTTTAAAAATTACGTGCAATAAATGTTAGCCATTAGCTGAGGTTGTTTTATGGGGAAAACGTACGTGATCCCTGCTTATCGCGCTCTCCATTACGGTAATGAATTAATGGAATGCAATTAGCTACATAATTTTTAAAAGAGCCTTCGGGCAGGAGTGTGAACGTCACCCTGAGCCCCATCTCAAGCTGGCATCTGGTCAGCTGCAAAGTCAACACGCCTCCTGCCACTTAGGTGGGACCAGAGATAAGGGAAGTCTCTAGCCAGCCCTGCCCTCCACGCAGAGAAGCAGCTGTGAGCAATGACCCAGCCGCTGCTTGCGAATGTTCTTGGTGAGAAGCACATGCATTCTGGCCCCTCTCTGAGGCCATCACAGGCGCTCCAGCCTGTCACAAAGCCCATCTTTGACTGCCTATCATCTAGCCCGAGTTTGGCCCTTAGTCACAGGTACACAAGTATTTCAGAGCGTAACCAGGAAAAGCAGCTCACCCAGCAACACAGACGCTGAGCCCATCACCGTCATCCTCTGGAAGCGTAGCTCAGCCACTGCACCTTCATAGGCTCCAGGCAGGAGGACCTTCCAAGACAAGAGGGGAGGCACATAACCTACTCAAGCACATGACTGACTAACAAGGCAGGAGGACCTGGCCACGTTCACTGAGAAGGTACTCTGGGAATGGCAAGCTGGATCGGGGCTGCCTCCTGCCCTTCAGGTGCATGGAAGTCAATGTGAAATGCACAACTATGGAACTGCACGTGGGGAGCGATGAATGGGTCACTTGAATGGGTCTGGAGAAGGACTAGGGGTGTCAGGAGATCTCGAGACTGATGGACATGATGGGAGGTGTGAATTGAGGAATGACAAGTAAGGCTGGTGCAACAGAAGAAAAGGAAAGGACACAGGACCGATGGGATAGAGTGGCCTGGTGCACCAGGAGCTGGGCTCACGGAGGGGTTTACGTGGCGCCGGGTAAGTGGGCACGTCACTCACATGATGCTGCCAGAGATGAGGCAAGCAAGCAGAGGGCATCCAGCTGGGCCAGAGAGGGAGGATGAGGGCTGACCAGCCAGGGGGCAAGTGGAAGGAAGTGAGGAGAAGAGACACGCAGGGCGCCGCGCTGATGGGACTTGGTGATGTATTACTCCTGGACGGTGCAGGGGAGGAAGAAGATGCAGCCAACCTTGGTTTCAGGAATACTGAGGCCATTCATTGAGATAAAGGAGCATGGGGGTCAGGGGGTGCACAGAGGTTTGACCAAGTGGAGCAATGCATTGAGGCTTACAACAGTCAAGTCACTGCCACCCTTATCATTACTCCACTGTCCTCAGATTCAAAAATACACACAGTCGGACTAACTACAGTCTTCATTCTGACACCAATCAACACGAGTCCATGAGGGCTCTATTTTAGTATCTTCATTTAGCTTGTTAAGGATTCAGTGTCCATGTGTAAGCCCACCCTCCAACCCACAACGAGAAGAGTAACTGTCACTTACATCCACTTGTTCTCCTCCCTGTGCCGGGCCAATGTCCCATACAGTCCCGGGGGCCTGGTGTTTCCCGCTGGCTCTTCCTTCTGAGGCCCTGATAGCCACTGGCTATGACCCGATCCTGGATTCAGGAGCTGTGCTTTGCATGGCCGCTGCCTTGCTCATAGCAGTAGAGTTCCTTCCACACAAATCTCAGCCCAGGAGCTGACTCACCCAGGCTGTCCTTGCTGGGAAAAAAATGGGCTGGTATTAGTAAGAGATGAGCACCCAGTGGGGGCTGTCCCTGAGGTTGTGGAAGCAGGAACTTGGAGGCAAGTAAGCGAGTACCAAAGGCAAGCCCAGGCAGCTGAGACAGCCCCTGCGCCCATGCCAGAGGGGAAGAGGACACCCTGCCGGCTGGGCCAAAAGCCCGGCTCTGAGCTCTGCAGCCCACTTGTGTGCATTTGGAAACAAGCTATTTGGGGTGACTGTCAGGAGCAGGACGGGAGTTTTCCAGGTGGTTTGCTACAGGGCTTTGTGAAAAATTATCAAATTGGTAAACCTGGCCAGGAAAGTTTGGTAAGCTCTTTTGTCCTGATGAGCAAACCATAAACATGTGCTCCAGTGCACTCAGGATGGAAACCTCTCACGATGGAAACCTCTCACTGAAAGAGGCCCTGACCCAGGCTCACAAATGGGAGACAAGGCAACCAGCCTCTGGGGTCAGAGCCGCTGCCAGCTTCTGCTTTGAACCCCCGCCCGTGTGTCCCAGGTATGATGAGCAGTACTAGAGGCAGGTGTGGGGACGTGAGCTGCACCCCAGACTTGATGCAGGCCTGGGCTGTCTGCACTCATCTGAGCCTCAGTTTCTTTCTCTGTAAAGAAGGCCAGTGACACTCCCCTGCAGCACTGGGAGGCTTCAGCGAAGTGGCCAGTGTGGCAGCACAGATTCCACCCATGTCCGCAAAGCAGGGAGGGAGGGACAGCTCCCTGGGGGCCTGCAGGGTTGGGCTGCAGAACTCGAAGGACCTCTGCCTCCCTTGTTTCCTGCTCACAAGTCTCATTTTTTTTTTCTTTCTTTTTCTTTTCTTAGAGATAAGACCTTGCTCTGTCACCCAGGCTGCAGTGCAGGGGCACAAAGCCATGCTAGAAAAGGGGGGGGGGGCGGGCATCCAAGGGCCCCAGAGATGCTCCCACCTCAGCCTCCTGAGTAGCTGGGACCACAGGCATGCACCACCACACCCAGCTCATCTTTTTATTTTTTGCAGAGACGGGGTCTTGCTATGTTGCCCAGGTCGGTCTATTGGCCTCAAACTATCTTTCCACCTGGGTGTCCCAAAGCACTGGGATTACAGGCATGAGCCACCGTACCTGGCCCTCACAAATCTCATTTCTTAAAGCTCAATTCCCTAGCAAGTCTTGATTTTCGTGCTCATCCCAGCCTTTGTCACACACCCCACTCTGTCTCCTGTTCCTCACGGTACAAATCTAAACCCAGGGCACACAGCCACAGTCCCTGAGAAAGGATGGCAAGGAGGAAGATTGGGAGGAGAAGCCAGGAGGCCTTTAACACAGCAGCATGGGACCAGAGGCCCCGGGTGGTCCTTGGCACCCAACTCCATGGCTTTAGAGGGGTCGCTTCTACCTTTGGGACCCCTCCTCTCCAATATGGCTTCTCCAACTCTGATGAGCACCCGCCAGCTGCATAAACAGCTGGGCCATCTGGAGCATTAAATCTTTGGATTTGTGGCCTGCCGAGCAGTGGGGTTTTGCAGAGAGCAGTGGGGGCTGGGGGGGGCGAGGCAAAGGGAATGTATAGGACAGCTGGGCATGAATGAGAGAGGGGAGAGGCCAGGGTCGCAGAGGACAGGGAACTGCAGGACAGAAGGAGTCAGTTAAGCAGCCCTTTACAGAGTCTGAACTATGGTCTGGGATTCCCCTGAGAACCTCACAGGAGAGTCCATCAATAAATGAAGCCAGGAGCCCAGCAGCATGGGGGCGGGGGGCAGTGCAGGGCAGCTGGGGCAAGGGATGCTACAGCAGGGAAACGTGTGCCCAGGTCAGCCTTTGTCCCCTCTGGGTGGCCGCCAGCAGCCCCGGCTAGCAGGGGCTAGCTGGGATCACCAACTGCTGCCGATACCAGAAGCATCTGTCGGGACGGGGTCTGGGCCTGCTGCAGGAGCAGAGCTGTCTTTTATTTTACTGTGTTGAAAAATACTTGCTGGTAGGAGAAGCCTCAAATGCAAGAACAAAGAACATATCGCCAAATAGCCCTGAAATTACAATGAGGATCAGGAGCTCCGATGGACGGGGTGGAGGCGAATTCAGATGGGGTGGAGGTCAATGGGGACGGGGTGGAGGCGAATGGGGACAGGATGGAGGCAAATGGGGACGAGGAGGAGGTGAATGGGATGGGGTGGAGGCGAATGGGGACGGGGTGGGGGTGAATGGGGGGTGGGGGTGAATGGGGGTGGGGGTGAATGGGGGGTGGGGGTGAATGGGGGGTGGATGCCTGCAGAGAGCACTGAATGTTGAGTCAGAGCTGCCTGGGTCCTGATTGTGGATATGATGGGCCCCAGGCCTCAGTTTCCTTGTCTGCACAGTGAGGAAGTGACATCACCCGCCCGGGACATTGCCCGGATGGAAGGGGAACTGTTGGCTCTGCCTGGGACACAGAAGCATGATATAACTTTCCTTCCATCCTCGCCGTGTCAGGGTCCACCCAGCGCCTACTCCCTGGGAGGAGGGTCAGCCGCCAGCTGCTCTACCCTCTGAGCAGGACTGCACCAGCCCTGGCCCTGAGTTCCCTTGCCTCCCAGCCTGGGCCAAAGCTCCCATCCCACTGAGTGTCTGCACACTTGTCCCATCCACATCAGGACCAAATCAAGCTCCCTTCTGGCCTTGGGAGGGTTGGAGCCTTCAGCCAAAGGCCCGGTAGAAGAGCTGAAGAGGATGGCCGAGCTCACTCAAGTTTCATCAGAGAATCAAAACCAAACCTCGGAATTCTGTCTTGCAAACCATCAGCCTAGGTTTATTTTCAATCTTCCCTTCCCTTTTTGAGAGGAGGCCCCAGCGACCCCCACAAGGCAGACTCAGCTCTGGCCAGTGGCCATGGGGTTTCAAATTTCGAAAGGGGCCTTTTGCAAAACGTTCAGTTTCAAGCTCTCGTTCGATTGCCCACATCCTGTCCAAGCTTCCTGGGGGAGTGAGATTTATTTAAGGAAGGAATCAGATCCCCACATTCATGCCATTGAGCGAACACATGCTCCGTCCCAGGCAATTTCAAGGATTAAGGTTACATATCTCTTAATGAGTCGCAGGCGGAGGGCAAAGTGGAGCTGGCTGGAGGAGGAGGTGCTATTCCCCCATGCCAGGGACCCCCGTTCTCTGCCAGGGATATAATTTGTGCCCCATATGACTGCACAATTATTCTTTTGTGCATTCACTCAATCTTTCATTCGACTAGCATTCTTACTGATCAGCCCCTCTGCACTGGGTTCTGTACTGGTCAGTGAGGGGTCTGAGGTGCCCAGGACAGAGCACCCACAGCCAGGGAGCTGAAGCTCTGGTTAGGGAAGCAGACACCTAAACAAATCATGACCAAGCAACAGAGGTTATGGATGAAGGTCAAATTCATGGCCATCTAACACTCAGAGTGCGGGGCGACATAGCCCACCTTGGGGACGGAAGCAAGTGAAGTCTTGCATTGTGGAGCAGTGTGAGGGCGGCCATGGAGAGGGCCAGGGGCAACAGCACAGAGACACGCACACCTGGAGACCCGGGGAGGCTCTGCAAGGCAGCACACGAGGCCAGGGAGCATGTAGCAAGAGGCGTGGCAGGAGGCCAGTGAGCTGGGACTCTATCCTGGGGCCGAGGGGAGCCACGAGCAGGCTCTCAGGAGCAGGGACTCCGGGGCATGCATTCTAAAGAGACGGCTCTAACCCCACCTCCCCGAAGACAGCAGAGTGGAGGTGGAGGCAGAAAGACCAGCCCAAGATGAGGGAAGCCTGCACAGCATGGTGGTGGCTCAGATGAGATGTGGGGACTCGCGGGGATGCGCAGAGGAGGGATGGGTGCTTTGGTGAAGACTGAACGGCAAAGGCGGGAGGAGGCAGCAGGGATGATGCTTGGATGATGCCCGACGGCCCGGCCGCCTGCGGGGTACCACTGTTTCTCAGGCAACCACTTTAAGAAACTCAGAGTGAAAAGCAGTGGAGGAAAAAGAAAAGGCCAACTCATATTCCAGTCTACCTTTAGTTTGTCATTTGGCAAAACATCGAAGAGAAATACTTGAACGTGGACCAGGGAAGACCAAATCCTGACACTCAGCAGAGACTTTGTAAACACGTGTGGTGCTTGAGTGAAGAGCAGGGTTCGAAGCTCACAACCACCCAGATCATTATCAAGCAGAACTCAAGTGACAGCGAAGCATAAACCCCCATGTCCAGTCACTTCTTTCCTCTTAAGATGTCCAAACACCCCACGGACCTGAGCCCAGAGAGCCAAAGCCAATGGCCATCTCTGACCATGGCTAGAGCGCTGTCCTCCCAGGCTCTCCTCAAAGCCAGGGAGAGAAGCAAGGGGACCTTCCTGTGAGCGGCAGGACCAGCCCAGCTGGCCCAGCTAATGACGGCCCCCAGGGCTTTGGCTTCATAGCACCTATCACGAGTGTAATTAAATACTTTTGCCAGAAACATTTGATTAAAATCTCTCACCCATGACTTGGAGCTCGGTAAGGGCAGAGGTGGTATCTGTCTGTCTTCTTGCTGTTTATCACCCAGCCTGTGGCATGTGGAAAGAACCCAATACTTTTCAATAAATGAATGGCTGGATGAACACCTAACTGGCCTAACGTTTCCTGATGTCTAGACCTTCCGGTGGGCTATAATGGCACAAAAAGAAGACCTTGTCCTCAGAAGCGCATAGCGGATGGTGACGTGGCTCTGGCGTCAGCATGGAGGGGTGGGAAGGGACAGATGTGAACATAGGACTGTGGGAAGCTAAGGCGGAGGGCAGGGGGCTGTGAAGGTGGGAGAGGGGGTGACATTTGTGTCAGGCCCAGCACAGGCTGAGTGGCCAGTGGGAGGGATGTGAAAACTAGAATAACTGTAAGTTGCTGAATGCCGTAAGGTTGTTTTGCCTCATTAACCACATAATTCTGTGGGCAGGGGCAAGGGGTGTCAGTGAAAACCTAACTCCTGTCTCCTGTATCAGCTTGCTGGCACCAGGTGAATCTCAAGGTCTAACCTGAAGCCATCTATACTGACGCTGCTGCCCAACCCCGGCATTCAGAGGTCGCCCTGCCACCAGCACAGTCAAAGCTCCTCATATAAGGGGCTGGAGCTCGTCCAGATGGAAAGCAGCCAACCTAGAAGAGTCAGAATAGGGGTCCCAGGTGCCCAAAATTAAGAAAGGGGAGTCTACCTGATGTGCCCTGATGCAGGATGCCCATATCAAGTCCTCACGAAGGAGAGGACAGTATCCACACCTGATGACCAAGAACCCACTGCCAAGTTCAAAGGAAGGACGTGAGAACAGCAGCGAGAGATGAAATCCAGGGTCAGAGCCAGCCAAGACAAGAGAAGAGAAATGGTCAGTGTGAGGCATGCAGTGGGCCCTCAATACCTATTTGTGGAACGGAGAAGAGAGGGAATCATAGAGGGGTGAAGGGTGGGTCCTGTGCATGTGTCCTCCACAGAGCATGGGTGTTGCCAGCTCACTTTTCTGGCTGTCTGTTTCCTGGTAGAAGAGCATGCCATGCCGTCTTGAAGGTCGGGACTGGCCTGGAATACCATCCAGGCCGGCATTCTTCCTATTACTTAGTGGAACTCTCCAATCTTCTGGAAGAGGGGAATTTGAGTATCACATCCATTTGAGAGCTTTGAAATTAATGCATTTGAAATCATAAAATATAACTACTTTGGGTGAGGATGAAGAAAGTTGGCACCTAAGATCTCTGAGGCATCTATTTCCTCCCAAGTACCATGCTATGTATGTGACATGTATTAAATAAGGTCCTGTGAAACAACACATCCACTCAGGCCGGCCGGTATTGTTATTCTCGTCTACCAGACGAAGCTGAGGCTGAAAGTCAAGGGGTACTCCTACCCACAGTCCCACAACCACAGCAAGGAGGAATGTGGTCTGCTTGGAAAGGCATGGAGTGGGCCCACTCACTGGAGCCATAAAAACAAGACTGGGTTATTTTTGATCTCCTGTCTTGGCAGAGGCAAGGGCAGCTTTCGGGAAGACCTGGGGCCTCGATTCCACCATGCCAAGCCAGCGTTGCCCAAGGATGGGCCAATGTCCAGGGAAGTCCGAAATGCCAGTATCCTGTCTCACTGTCTGGCACTGGACACAGGAAGCTGGACTCAAGGCAGAATCTGGACTTGTGTAGGAGGATGCCACAAACCATCTGACACACAGCACACTTCCCCAAAGAACAGCTCCCAGGCCATTCTCAGACGGGCCGTCCTGGTTCCAAATAAGCACGTGTATTTTTAGTTATTCGTTCATTCACTCAGCAACAATTTACTGGGTGCTTCCGAGGCACAGAGTTGGCAGGCACCAGGGATACAGAGAATAATTTGACCCAGTTCCTGGCCCCTGCGGCACATCAGTTTAATGATGACATGTAAACAAACGCCCACAATGGAGGGTGGGTGCTCTGATTGAGTTATTTATGCCACGGCATGAAGTCGGGACATGACTACTCTCTGTGGAACAGTCGGGGAAACAGTCCTAGTATGAGTTCACTCATTCACTGCCTCACACTTGAATAAGCTAATTCACTAATTTATTGACTCATTCACTTATTCACTTACTCATTCCCATAGCTAATTTATTCCTTGATTACATACTCATTCACTGACTCATTTGCTCCCTCACTAATTCACTTTTTTATTCATTAACTGTAATATATCCAACACTCATCTATCCCTCTATTTATTCACTCAGTAATTTGTTTCATTCACTGACTCATTTATTTACCCAGTTCATTTATTCAATTGTTTCCTCTTTCTTTAATGTATTCATTTGTAAACTCACTCATTCCTAGACTTACTAATTCATTCATTTGGTTCTTCATTGAGTCATTAACTCATTGATTGGTTCATACATTGGCTCACCCATTCATTTATTTCCTCATTGCTAATTGACTTTCATTTATCTGTTAATTCATCAATTCATTCAGGAATCCATGGATCCACTGATTCACTCACCCATTTACACATTGGTCTTTCATTTCTTGATTCCTTGACTTACGAGTCTTCCATTCATTCACTCACTGACTTAGTCTTTCATCATCCACTCATTCGCTTTGTGACATTTTTTCTTGCACATGAACTCATCCACTCATTAACTCACCATGCATTTATCCACTAATCACTGATTCAGTTATTTATGCACCCATTGCTGATCCATTCACTCACTGTGTACTCCTTCACATTTTCATTACTTCACTTATCCATTCCTTTATTTACTCCAAGACTCACTTGTTCATGTACTGCTTCCCTCCTCCATTCTTTTATTCACCATGTATTCACCTATTTATTCAACAGATGATTACTGCATGTGCTCTCCATGTCAGGCACAAGGGGCAGAGCAGTGAAGGAGAGGAGTGTGGTCCCCAGCTCTGCGGAGCTACAGACTAGTAAGTCTGTTACTGGCTCAGGAGCCATCTCTTCCGCAACTCACCTGACACTAAGATTGAGCTGAAGGCACACCTTCTGTGCTTCTAGAAAGCCCATCTACCTGCCCTATTTTATAAAATTGCTATATTTATAAGTGGGTCTCCATCTAATCTCACAGAGAGCCCATCTGCCTGCCCTATTCTGTTGAATGGCCAAATTTATAAGTGGGTCTCGGGCCAGGCACAGAGGCTCACACCTGTAATCCCAGCACTTTGGGAGGCTGAGGCAGGCAGATCACGTGGTCAAGAGATCGAGACCACCCTGGCCAACATGGTGAAACCCACATCTCTACTGTAAAAAAATACGAAAATCAGATGGGCATGGTGGTGGTGTGCCTGTAGTCCCAGCTACTCAGGAGGCTGAGGCAGGAGAATTGCTTGAACCCAGGAGGCAGAGGTTGCAGTGAGCCAAGATCACGCCACTGCACTCCAGCCTGGTGACAGAGCAAGACTCCATCTCAAAATAATAATAATAATAATAATAATAAGAAGAAGAAGAAGAAGAAGAACAAGAACAAGAACAAGAACAAGGAGGAGGAGAAGTAAAAGGAGGAAGAAGAAAGAAGAAAAGAAGAAGAAGGAGAAGAGGAAGAGGAAGAGGGAGAAGAAGAAGAAGAAGAGGAAAAAGAAGAAGAGGAGGAGGGGGAGGAGGAGGAGGAGGAAGAAGAAGAGGAAGAGGAAGAAGAAGAAGAAGAAGAAAGAAGAAGAAGAAGAAGAAAGAAGAAGAAGAAGAAAGAAGAAGAAGAAAGAGAAGAAGGTCTCCATCTAACCTCACAGAGCCACTTGGTGAGTGGAACTAGACCAAAGTCATATATAAATGCCACTCCTGACATGAGGTCTGACAAGAATTAGCATCATAAATGTTGAGCTGAAATTAATACCTTAATATTAGTTATTTTAGTACTCTCTCAGATATTAGCTGCCAGAAAATACTAAAATATGGGATATAGGGGTCTCCTACCACCACCTCCAAATAAATCAACTCACTAGAATTTGTAACTTGAGATAGTGAAAAAAAAATCAATGTAAGTAGCATGCAAAAATGTCTAAAATATATCCATAGTACACGCAGAATGGCACTATATACTATTAAAATAAAGATATAAAAGATTAAGGTTTCATTTCATAAAAGTTCATGGTGCAGAACTGAAATACTTATAATCTTCATTTCAAAACACATTTTAATCACTGGTTCATTATTTGCCCTCTTCTAATTTACTTTTTCATAGATTTATTTTCTTAATCATAATAATCAAATCCATGAACCAAAATACAAAAACAAGAACACTGAACACTTTAATACCTGTCTCTGACCTCATTATACACAGAGACAACAGATTGAATCTTTTCTGTTAAATGGATTTCAGAGAAGCAAAACTGTGTTGATCATAATTCTTGCTTCATGAAATGTTATCATTTAATATTCTTGGCCATTCTAGCTTTTTTGTTGTTCATGTTAGTTACTCATTTTCAAAAACAAAGTCAACAACAAAGAATCTACTCCCAAGGAAGCAGGGAGAAATTGACTATTATTTAAATCTTTCCATTATCTCCTCAAACAGAGGTAAAACAGTTAACCCAGGTTAAACAAATCTTTGTTTTATAATATAATCTCCCAACTGGTCATGAGTGGCAGTTGTAATTTTACTAGCATAAATACTTTGTACTTGTTTAACTATTTATTATTTATAACAAAATAATAAAACTCAAGAAAACCACAACTAACCCAAGAACAAGATCTTTGACCAAGGCTAGACTCTGTCTATAAGCTCCTTAATCTAAGAGATAGCAAACCAAGCCTCTTTTTAAATGGATCTCATTTTGCAAAATGAGTTATCCATGACACTTGGCAGGTACATTCTTATCATTGGTTCAGGCATGGTCTTTTTGGACTTAATGATTGCATGAAGTCATTTCTTCTTTTAAAATAATAAATCATCATCATCTGTAACAAAAAGGCCAAACTAAGAATAAACTCTTAATCTGACTTGCCCTGTTCTACACACTCCTTGGCCACATGGGTAACAGTCAAGGTCTCCATCCTTCAGATAATTATTAAAACAGCCAAGTTACGTCCATTCCGTAGGGGTACAAAGCAGATACAGAAAATAATGAAATACCTTTATCATTGGTTCATACTTGGCACTTATTCATTTAGTTAACCAGGTATTTGTTTAATTTTAACTTTTTTTGTCTTAATGAATCAAACACCCAGGAACCCACAGCAAACTAAGAACAGAACATCGACTGTTAAATGTCTCTATCTAGATGCTTGTTACGCAAAGTGGTGGCAAATTTAATCTGTTTTCTTTTTCTTGACGGACCAAGGTATTTCGGAACTGAATTAATTACATTCCTTGCTTTACAACATACCCTCAGAATCGGTCCATGTCTTAACCTCTTTTTCTTTACTCATGAATATACTTGTTTGTTGATCCATTCACTTACCTGCTAATCATATACAATTAGTATCTGTGAACCCTCTCAAGCTCCAGTACTACATTCTCAAATTTTCCTGACATTATTCCCACAAAGGTTTACATACTAGTTCTTTCTTTTGCAATGGACCTCAGCGGTTCACAAAATGATTGATCACAGTTTTCATTCAGATGCATTCCATTCACATCACTGGTCCAGACATGGCCCCTCTACATTTAATTTGAACAACTTTTAGACATCACAATGAACAAGAAGGAACCACCATCTTACTCAGCAACTAGAATACTGACTCCATAAATGAGTAACAGCCTTTATCAAGAGGAAAGTCTCTAATAATCAATGAGACAAACACACAATGTGACATTTAACTATTGAAAATGAATGGAAAAGCTAAGTTTTTTTTTCTCATACTGCGTTTGTTCTAAATTGGATTAATTTCAGTTCATAACACATTCTCATCATAGGCCTATGCATGGCCTTTTAAAATTTAATTATCTTTTTAAATGACAGTTGAAATTGTGAACTAACAATCCAAGCCAAGAACTTTATTACTTACATTGCAAGACATTCTCCTTAGTCAGAGGGCTGAAGTTCCTCATCACAGGGAATAATTAAATCAGCTCTGATCTGTCCATCCTGTAGATGATATTACCAAAGGAAAAAGGATATTACCAAATGAAAAGACCTAGATTTAGGTTTCGATTTCGTGAACAGGAAGTAACCGTCACAGAAATTGATCACAAACAATGATTTATTCCACGTTCTTATCTCCAGCTCTTAAATGGAGCTCCATCTTATTAATTAACGTATTATTCATTTTAATAACATTAATAATACACTTAAATGAACCACCCAACTTAAAAACTATGAGAGTTACACACATATGACTCCATATTCCATACCCACCGAGCTAAAAATGTAGAGCTCCTCTTTTAAAAAGGGCCTCTGTTGTGCAAAACTGTAGTCACCATGAACCTTGATTTACAATACAGTCTTATCATTGGTCCTTACATAGCCTTCATTGATTATATTCTGTATTTTTTTATCATACACTAAATACCCTAAACATACCACCCCAACAATGACAAGAGCTTGCATCGTTACTCACACTGAACCATCTTCATCATTACAGAATCGTTGTTGGCTTGAGTGTGTTCATACTATGGAGCTGAAAGCGATGGCAAAGAAAGGAAAAATAAATATGCATTATTTTATACCTTTAAAAATTTATACAAAAAATATGCAGGAATATCTCTTACCAAAAAAGGAGTGGAAATATCAAAAGTTCTCTCAATTGATCCTGTTTCCCTCCTTGATTTGTTTAGCTATTTATAATCAGGTATTGATAATTTGTGAAATTATTTATTTGTTTCTCTTAACAAAGCAGACAAACTTGAACTCACCACTCTCCCATGGCAAAAACATTGACTATTACCATTCTTTGTCTATATGATTCTCAAGCAAAGAAGAAACATTCCTGATTTCTTAATTTAATTCATAAAACTCAGTGTTTGGAGATATTAAAAATATACAATTGCACAGATGTTCTTATTGGACTCATTCTAATTATTGGTGTGTAACATATTCTCATCCCTGATCTTCTTTAATTTTGTGTATAGATGTAGTCATTTATTCATTCTTTTATAATACAATGGATACCTATGACTAAACACCCCACCCAACCCAAGGACAAGAACATCGTGCATTACTTGTATAGGTCGGTAGCCTTCTTTCCCAGAGACTTACCAGCCACCGTCTTTACCAACGATAATCATTTCTGGAGGGTAGAAAGCAAGTGGTAAAAAGAATGAAACGTCCTAAATTTTGACTGTGCCCGAATACTCTAACGAATGCAAGGTGAGCAAGTTTAGATTAATTTTTTAAAATTGGGTCATGTTCTTTTTACAATTGGCCAAAATAGTCCCTCTTCTTTGTCACACTAATTAAGTTATTAATTTTGCATTTAAAATGGATGTCTTTCCAATTTCAACAAAAGCAAAAATTGACATATGAAATCTAATTAAAGAGTTTCTGTATAGCAAAAGAAACTATCATCAGAGTGAATGGATAATCTACAGAATGGGAGAAAAATTTTGCAGTCTATTTATCTGACAAAAGTCTAATATCCAGAGTCTACAAGGAACTTAAACAAATTTACAAGAAAAAATACAACCCCATTAAAAAGTGGGCAAAGGACATGATCAGACACTTCTCAAAAGAAGACATACATGCAGCCAACAAACAAGAAAAAAGCTCAACATCATTGATGACCAGAGAAATGTAAATCAAAACCACAGTGAGATACCATCTCACACCAGTCAGAACGGTGACTATTAAAAAGTCAAGATAAAACAGATGCTGACAAGGTTGTACAGAAATAAGAACACTTTTACACTGTTAGTGGAAATGTAAATAAATTAGTTCAACCACTGTGGAAGACAGTGTGGTGATTCCTCAAAGATTTAGAAGCAGAAATACCATTTGACCTAGCAATCCCATTACTGGGTATATACCCAAAGGAATGTAAATCATTCTGTTATAAAGATACGTGCACGCATGTGTTCATTGCAGCACTATTCACAATAGCAAAGACATGGGATCAACCCAAATGTCCATCAATGACAGACTGGATCGAGAAAATGTGATACATACACACTATGGAATACTATGCAGCCATCAAAGGGACAAGAGCATGTGTTTTGCAGGGACATGGATGAAGCTGGAAGACATTATCCTCAGCAAACTAATGCCGGAACAGAAAACCAAACACCACATGTTCTCACTTATAAGTGGGACCTGAACAAAGAGAACACATGGATACAGGGAGGGGAACAACACACACTGGCACCTGTCAAGGGAGGGTGGGGAGAGCATCAGCAAAAATTGCTAATGCATGCCGGGCTTAATACCTAGGTGATGTGTCAACAGGTGCAGCAAACCACCATGGCACACATTTACCTATGTAACAAGCATGCACATCCTGCACATGTACCCCGGAATAAAATAAAATAAACCAAATAAAATAAATTGATGCCTTAGAATCCACCACCTGAATCAAGAATGAGAGCTCTCCACAAAACATGTCAGCGTCAATGCCTCCACCAATGCACTCAACAACCTAAATCTTTGGACTTCCCATATGCAGAATTAGATTTATCTAAACACTTGTTTCAAAGCAATTTCACACCAATGAATAGTGCTTGATACCACTTAATTCATCCATTCACAAGCCAGTTTGGCCAATTATTCATTCTTTGTAAAGAAACAGAACAATGTGCAAACTCACAGAAACCCAGAACATGTCTGATAATGTGCATCTATGTACATCCTCCTTATACAAAAACTTGTAAGAGCCAAAATATTTGCCTTGAGAAGAAGACACTCTCAGAAACTAGTTACATCACAACCCTTATTTCCAGACATGTTTGCTACTGGCCCTTGCTTTATCCTTTTAGCTAACTGATTATTATTAACTTATGCATTTGTCCATTATTAAGGTAAAATCAGTATCATTGTACATGATCTAGACTACAGCACGGATAATCATAGCACACGCACAGTTGCTCATTACCAAAGTAAGAGCAGATGACGTCACTTTGTAATGGAATTTAGTGAGAACAATAGCTCTGGTTATAAAACAAATTCTTGCCACTGACCCTCTTTAAAATTAGTCTTTTATTTATATAAACTGCATCCCTTTTCAGGGATAAAGCAAACAACCAGGAAACCAAAGACAACTCAACATAAACACGGACAACTCATACATTTGTCTACATGTTCCTCACTCTGATAGATTAAAAAACCAACACGATTCCCACTTCCTGAGCAATAGATCAGTACCATGACTTGCTTCAGTACACATGTTATAGTTCGTCCAGGTGTGGCCATGTTTTTATTCACTTATTTCTTTTACTTGAGTTCTGCATGCATTAATTCACTTGTAATAACATAATCATTATCCATGAATCACAAAAGCACAAGAATAGGGTGACTGAATTTTTTTTTTTTTCTTGAGACAAGGTCTCACTTTGTTGCCCAGGCTGGAGTGCAGTGGCACGATCTCGGCTACTGCAACCTCCACCTCCCGGGTTCAAGCAATTCTCCTGCCTCAGCGTCCCAAGTAGCTGGGACTACAGGCACTCGCCACCACTCCCAGCTAATTTTTGTATTTTTAGTAGAGACGGGGTTTCACCATGTTGGTTAGACTGGTCTCAAACTCCTGACCTTGTGATCCACCTGCCCCGATACCCCAAAGTGCTGAGATTACAGGTTTGAGCCACCGCACCCAGCCGATAACTGAATATTTTTAACTACTGTCTACAAGATCATTTCCAACTAAGCAGTAGACTAGGTTTCTTTTATATTGGAGCTTAAACTTCCTGACTTCTATTATTCACCATCCTTGACTCATACTCACAACCAGGCCACAGACTATCAATCTTTTTCTTCATTTAGACTTTGTCTGTTTCATTTATTTATTAATTTCATAATAAAGAAATATAAATGAATCAGAACAAATAGGACGAGAGCTGTAATAATCCTGCTGTCTCTCTGTAGATCAGTTCCTACAGAAATTAGACCTGTTTCTTGAACTGACTTCATTGTTTCAAATATGCATTACTCAACATAATGCTTCATATCACTCCCATGTTCATTTTTGGGCCATGGTTAGTCTTCTTTGATTATATTTTCTACTTATTAATAATGCATTGACCACTCTTTTTTCTTTTTTTTTTTTTTTTTTTTTTTGAGACAGAGTCTTGCTCTGTCACCAGGCGCCAGGCTGGAGTGCAATACACAATCTCGGCTCACTGCAACCTCCGCCTCCTGGATTCAAGCAATTCTCCTGCCTCAGCCTCCTGAGTAACTGGGACTACAGGCTTGTGCCACCATGCCCAGCTAATTTTTGTATTTTTTTTAGTAGAGATGGCGTTTCACCATGTTGGCCAGGATGGTCTCGATCTCTTGACCTCGTGATCCACCCACCTTGGCCTCCCAAAGTGCTGGGATTACAGGCATGAGCCACCACGCCCGGCCACATTGACCACTCTTAAATGGCCCAAACAAAGACAAGCACTTTGATGATTACTCACATTTGTCTGTATGTTCCTTAAAACGACCACAGAGCAGTGGCCATGGCAGGAGCAGTGGCCATGGCAGGATCAGTGCAGGAAGTGACTGTTCTGAGGATTCCAAGGAAGAGCAGAAGACACAATTTGAGACTTTGGATCATTAGTTCTTCCATTCTACCTTCCATTTGCTCTGTCAGTTGGTATTTATTGATTGATGTTAATATTTGCTTATTTTCCCCTTAATAAAATAAGTATTGGACTTACAACTGACCCAGCTGACCTGAGAATTGACCTAAAAATCACATATCCGTTGATAACTACTAATCAGTGCTATTGCCCTATCAATTGTTATGATTCTTAGCCAGAGAGTTAAAACCACTGACCCATTTATTACCCATTCCAAATTAATTAATAGTATTTCTTTCCTTGCCACACGTTAACAATTAGAATATGCCTCTCTCTCTTCACGTTTAATCATTTAAATCTTTGTTTGATTCTTTCACTGATTCATTGATATTAATATAATCACAATTCATGAACCGTAATATTGAAAGCAAATAACTCTTGATATCTCTAATATCTATCTCACGGATTTTTTTCAACAGAGGAATAAATTAGATTTCTATTATACTGAATCTCAGAGTTCCAGACACTTAATATTCATCATCCATGACTCAAACGCCACCAGCTGTCATCACTGGCTCAAGCTTGGACCTCATTTTCTTAATTCATGTCTACGTGTTTTTATTGATTAATTTACCAGTTCACTAACAATAAAATAATTACCTAAGAGCCACAAAAACTTGAGAGCAAAATCCTTAAATAGCTCTAATATCTGTCTATGTCATTATTACTAAAAGCAATACACCTCTTTCATTAATTAAATTCAATGTTTTCATTAATTAAATCCAATGTTATATATATGCATTAAACAACATAGTGCTTTATATTAATTCCATTTTTACCAATGGGCCAAAGTTTACCTTCAATGATTATATTTAATACTTCTTGATACTGCCACAAATATCTTTTTTAAAAAACACTGAAACCAAGAACATTGACTATCACTCACACTGGTCTCCATACGCCATGCACAGATGCAACCACAGAGCTTACCGTGAAAAAGGAGCGATAGGACCAGCTGGAGTGCGTTTATTCTGCGGAACTCAGGGCACCAGAGACGACCAGGAAAGACGAAGACACTATCTGCATTATTCTTTGTGTTCATTCCTCCACTTCTTCAGTCATATAGGTAATTTGGGACCACAATTTATTTTACTTACTCTACATAGCCAGACAATATCAGTCACGCCACTGACACAAACATAAACATTCATTATTATTTATCACTGTCTACAACATCCCTAACTAAAGAAATAAAAAGTTATACCACTTATTCCCTAATGGTATTGGTGTTTTCAATATATACCATAGGCTTTCTTCTCACTCTGCTGCCCAGGTAGAGTGCAGTGGTGTGATCTCGGCTCCCTGCATCCTCCATCTCCCAGGTTCAAGCAATTTTCCTGCCTCAGCCTCCCAAGTAGCTGGGATCACAGGCATGCGCCACCATGGCCAGCTAACTTTGTATTTTTAGCAGAAATGGGGTTTTACCATGTTGCCCAGGCTGGTCTCAAACTCCCCACCTCAGGTGATCCACCTGCCTCGGCCTCCCACAGTGCTGGGATTATGAGTACGAGCCACTGCACCTGGCCGTATCATAGTTTTTCTTGCCTCACAAACTATTTTTATAATTGGACAGTGCTTAGTCTCATCCAACATAATTTATTTGTATATTAGTTCAGTGGTTCCTTCATTGATCCGATTATAATAATAGATCAAAAACTTGTGCTCACAAAGAGCAAAAACACGACCCTTGCGTATTCCTGACGCCCGTCTATAGGATCACTTCCAAAAAGGGTGAAAAACTGTATTTCTCTTCTGATGGACCTCAGAGTTCCAGATAGGTATTCACTGTCTAAGACCCATCCATTACCAGAAGTCATGATTAATCCAGGATTAGCTCTGGTGCTCTTCATTCATTGTTATATTATTTATTACTTTATTAATTCACCATTAATAACTTTTAAACACTGTCACTCACAAAACCCCAAAAGGAGCCTCGGTGTCTCTGATTTGTATATACATCCATCCTCACAATTCCATACCCCTCATTATCTTTTGTAATAACACAGGACGTGCTTTTCATACAAGCATCCATCAGTAGAACACTCCACATCCATTCCATACTTATCCCTGGGCTACTCATGGCCTTATGGGATTATATGTCATATTTTTTGTTAATACACTATTAACCTTAAAACAAAATACCCAAGATGGAACGAGAACTTTGAGTATTACTCACATTGGTCCGTAGCTTCCAGCACAGAGATGGACCATACAGCTCTTAGCCTGTGAAAACCAGCTTCTGTGCTTCCATTCTGAGTACAGAGCAGAAGAGATGACAACAAAAATGAGACCTTCTCTCCATTGATCCTTGCTTTTCAAATACACCTCAAATTAATGAACGTGTAAACATTTATACCCATTTATACATTCATTAGTTTGAGATATATTTCATTTTTTATGAACCACTGGCCAGGTGTGGTGGCTCACGCCTGTAATCCCAGCACTTTGGGAGGCCAAGGCAGGTGGATCACTTGAGGTCAGGAGTTAAAGACCAGCCTGGGCAACATGGTGAAACTTTGGACCCGTCCCTGACCCAGAACTTGAATATGGTCAATAATTTATACTGTCTTTCTCATTCAAAGAGGTAACAGGTATTCAAGGTTTCTCTTTAGTTGTTACCAATTTCAGTATATATATATTAACAGTGTTGTCTTTCCACATATTTTTATAATTGGACAATGTTTAACCTTATTTATCTTTTTTTTTCTTTTGAGGCAGAGTCTTGCTCTATCACCCAAGCTGCAGTGACATGATCTCAGTTCACTGCAACCTCCTGGGTTCAAGCAGATTTTTGAATTCCAGGTTCAAGCAATTCACATGCCTCAGCCACCCAAGTAGCTGGGATTACAGGCGCATGCCACCACGCCTGGCTAATCTTTGCATTTTTAGTAGAGATGAGGTTTCACCATGTTGGCCAGGCTGGTCTTGAACTCCTGACCTCAAGTGATCCAACGGCCTTGGCCTCCCAAAGTGCTGAGATTACAGGTAGTCCTTATTCATCTTTATTTGTATATTTATTGATCGGTTATTTCATTGATCCAATTATAAATATAAAATAAAAATTCATGAACATGAAAATCAAACACATATACTTTCTATTTTTTGCCATCTGTCTGTAGGATCATTTGAAACAAGGAATAGACTAGGTATCTTTTGAGACCGACCTCAGAGTTCCAGACACATATTCATCGCTTATGACTCCTGCGCCACCAGTGGTCACCATGGATCCAGGATTGGCCTTCTTTTCTCCATTATTTTCTACATCGTCTGTTGATTAATTCACTCGTTTACTAATAATAACTTTAAACCTAATGATTCACAAAACCCCAAAAAGATATTCCTAATCATTCTGACATTAATATATGTTTCATTATTGTCCTGTTTTTCATATGTGAATTGTCAATGTAATACTTCTGACTCCCATATCTCTCACTAGATACAATTCACCATCTTTGATTATATTACATATGTATATATAGTACATCACATATGTATTTATAGTACTCTTACATAAACCACCCAAAGAAATACAAGAAATCTGACCGTTACTCACATTGGTACCCATGCTCCTTCCTAAGCATGGTGCAAACAGAACACGTGATCATGAAGAAGTCCTCAAATCAGAGCAAGTCTTTCCATTCTAAGGAGCACAGAACAAGGAAGATGATAGCAAAGGGGGCGTATGAACTGTGAATCCTTGCTTCTCACCTACCACTAGTCGTCTATGCTATCATTATCTGAAGGGTACTTACTTCATTTTCTCTTTAAAGAATGAACAATTTCAAACTTACAATTAACCAAGAATTTGAACACTGTCTATAATTATCCTGTCTATATCACCACAAGCCAAAGAGGGGACAGACATGCACATTTCCTTCTCTTCAGATTCCACTATTCTCAATACATATTAATAGTGTTTCTTGCCTCACCAAATATTTTTTATAACTGGACAACGATTAACCCTACTCATCCTTATTTTCACGTTTATTGGTTTTTATATTAGCCAATTATAAAAACAGAATCAAAACATGTAAACATAAAAACCAAAACCAAACTCATCTTCTATTCCTGATGCCTGTCTAAAGGATTATCTCAAACACAGAAAATCAGCTACGTTTATTCTGTGATGGACCTCAGAGTTCTAGACACGTATTCATCGCGTATGACCCATCGCCACCAGCAGTCATCCACCAGGACTGCTCATCTCTTTCTCCATTCATCTCTACCTTGTCTATTGATTGATTCATTAATTCACTAATAGTAATTTTAAGTCTGTATGGCCCAACCAGTCCCAAGAATAACTTTAATATTCCTAATTTGTATACTGAGTCATTCCAACACTGATATACCTCTTTAATGAACAAGCCTCAGGTTTTTATATATGCATCATCAATACAATGCTTCATATCATTTCCATATCTTTCACTGGGATGTAATTGGACATCTTTGATAATGTCATACACTTTTTATAATACACTGAGTCCTCTTAATAAGGCACCAGAATGAAGTCAAAAATGTTGACTATTCCTCACATTAGTCTGGCTGAGGCTAACCACGATGCAAGGACAGCACGTGACCATGGAAGAATTTTTCAAGGTGCCCAATTCATCCATTCTGCAGAGCACAAACCACAGGGGAGTTCGGCGCATACAATGGGACATTCTCACTCATGATTCACCCTTATTTAGTGAGTCATCTAGGCCATCATTATTTGAAGTTTATTTCATTTTCTCTTAAGAAAATGAGCAATTTTGAACTTGCCGCTGACCCATACAATGCTTAACCTTATTCATCTTTATTTATTCAAATATTTGCTTATTGATTCTCTCATTGGTCCAATTATAAACTAAGATAAAAATGTTAAAAAAGAAAGACCAAAAACAAACTGAGTCTATATTCCTGACATCATACCTATAGAATCACGTGAAACAGATGAAGCTGATTTAGTGATGGACCTCAGAGTTCCAGAAACATATTCATCATATGACTTATATGTCACCAGTAGTCACCATCAATCCAGGATTCTTCCTATTTTTGTCTATGCGTTTTCACTTTGTCTAATAATTAACTCATTAATTCACTGATAATAACTTTAAAATCTTTGGTTTTTTAAAACTTAAGAGCTTTGATACTCCTACTCCCTCCAAGAATCGTTATAATGATCGATATTTTCATTAATTGTTCTCCATTTTTCATATATGCATTTTCAATATAGCACTTGATATCTATATGGGTATGTGATATGGATAGATTTGACCATCTTTCATTATATTCCTGTAATATATTGGAATATATTATATAAGGAATATATTCCTATAATATATTCTATTCCTATAATGTATTATGTCCTTTTATAGTATGAAAAGGTATACCTTTTTATAATACATTACATCATAGAAATATATAATATATTCCTACAGTATATATTCCTATAAAGTATTATACCTTGTTATAATGCATTGATTCCTCTTCAACAAACCACTCAAGACAACAGCTTTGACCATTACTTACATTGATCTGTATGCTCCTTCCTAAGCATGGTGCAAACAGAGCATGTGACCTCAGAGGCATCTTCAAATCATCACAAGCACGTCCATTCTGACCAGTGCAGAGCAGAGTAATAACAAATACGTGATTTTTCATGGTTGATCTTTCCTTTTCACCAATCATTAAACATTTAGGCAATCATTATTTGAAGTATGAATAACTTTGAGCTTGCCGCTACGCCAGAACGTGAATATGGTATATAATTTACACTATCTCTTCATTACTGGCCAAAAAGGTTAGGTATGTAAGGTTCCTTTTTTGGCTTTTATCAATTTAAATACATATTAATAGTACTTGCCTCACCATACATTTTTATAATTGGACAATGCTTAACTTATTTATTTTGTTTATCCAGGTATGTTTTATTCTTTCATTGAACCAATTATAAAATAAAAACCCATGAACAAAAAATTCATTCTACCTTCTTGACATCTGTCTATAGAATTACTGGAAACAGAGGGAAGTAACTTCTGTGATGGACCTCAGAGTTCCAGACATGTATTCACCGTAAGTGACTCATACTCCACCAGTGCTCATCATCGATCCAGGATTGACCCTCTTTTTCTCCATTCATTTCTATGTTGTCTTTAGATTCATTTATTAATTCACTAATAATAATTTTAAACTCTGTGATTCACAAAACACTAAGAACCCACACTTGATATTCTCTATCTTTATACAGGATCATTCTAACATAGACACGCCTGTTTAGTTCTTCTCAGTCTTTCATATATGCATTATCAATAAATATTTCGTATCACTCCTATAAATATCACTGGGACGTAGATGGTCATCGTTGACTGTATTACACACTTTTTCATGATGCACTGAGGCCTCGTTAGCAAACCACAGAAACCAACACAGGAATTTTGACTATTACTCACATTGGTCTGTACACTCCTTTCCAAGCATGGTGTATAAACGGGGCGCGTGATCATGGAGGAATCCTCAATATAGCACAAGCTGCTCATTCTGAGGAATACAGGCCAGAGAAGATAATAACAAAACTGAAACATTTTTAATATTGACATTTGCTTTTCGCCTATCAATAGTCATTCATGCAATCATTATTTGGAATATATTTAATTTATTTTCTGAAAATAAAATGAATAATTTTGAAATTGCCACTGACCCAGAAGCTGGGTGTTACCTATACTTTATTCAGTCATTACCGTCATTAGTCAAAGAAGCCACAGGAACGTGCCTTTATTTCTCTGTGGATGTCACTGTTTCATATACACTAATCATGCTTCTTATCTTGTCCTAGTTTTATAACTGGACAATGCTTGAATTTATTCATCTTTATTTATTTGTATTTGTTTACTAATTCTCACATGGATCAATTATAAAAATAGAATCAAAACATGTAAATATGAATACTAAAAACATATATATTCTAAATTCCTGACAGCTGTCTGTAAAATAATTTCAAACATACAGAGTAGGTTAGATTTTGTTTGTGATGGACCTCAGAGTTCTAGACACGTATTCATCGTATAAGACTCATACGCCACCAGTAGTCATCATCGATCCAGGGCTGACCTCTATATGTGGATTTATTTCTACCTTGTCTGTTGGCTAATTTGTTAATTCACTAATCATAATTTTAAGCCCTATGATTTACAAAACCACAAGAAGAGCATGGTATTCCTAATGTGTAGGAATATTTATTTCATTAATTATCCTCAGTTTCTCATGTATGCGTCTTCAATATAATCCTGACATCATGCCCATGTTTATTTGAATACAGTTGCTCATCTTTGAGTGTGATATACTTCTTTTTATAACACATTGAACTTTCTTGAACAAACCACCCAAAGCAAGGTGAGGACTTCCACTGTTACTTACATAGATCTCCAGGCTCCATCCTAAAAATGGTGCAAGTAGAGCACATGACCTTGGAGGAATCCTTAAATCCACAAAATGCAGCCGTTCTAGGGAACGCAGAGCAGAGGAGATGATAACAAAAACGGGATATTGTCACCACTGACCCTTTCTTATCACCTATCATTACTTAGTCATTTTGGCAATCATTATTTGCAGTATATTCATTTTATCTAAAAAAAAAATGAACAATTCTGAAATTTCCATTGGCCCAGAAACAGAATGTTGTCTATATTTTGTACCGTCTATACCATCATTAGCCACAGAGGTCACTGGAAGATACCATTTATATCTCTGTGGACTTCATTGTGTCAAAAGATATTGAGAGTGCTTCTGGGTGGGTACGGTGGCTCATGCCTGTAATCCCAGCACTTTGGGAGGCCAAGGTGGGTGGATCACTTGAGGTCAGGAGTTCGAGACCAGCCTGGCCAACGTGGTGAAACCCCATCTCTACTAAAAATACAAAAATTTGCCAGATGTGGTGGCGTGTGCCTGTAATCCCAGCTACTCAGGTGGCTGAGGCAGGAGAACCGCTTGAACTTGGGAGGATGAGGTTGCAGTGAGCCAACATCATGCCACTACACTCCAGCCTGAGCAACAGAACAAGACTCTATCTCAAAAAAAAAAAAAGAGTGCTTCTTGCCTTATCACATATTGTTATACTCGACCAATGCTTCAACTTTTTCAGCTATATCTATATGTGTTTATTGAACCTTGCATTGACCAGTTATAAAAACAGAATGAAAATACATAAACACAAAAGCCAAAAAATTATGTTCTATATTTCTGAACTCTGTCTACAGGACAGGCTAGATTTCTTCTGTGACAAATCTCAGAGTTGCATACATGTATTCATCGTATATGACTCATATGCCACCAGTAGTCATCATTGATCCAGAATTGATCATCTGTTTTTTTCATTTAATTCTGCCTCATTTACTGATTAATTCATTAATTCACTATTAATAATTTTTAAGCTCTATGATTTACAAAACCCTATGGAGACCTGTATACATATAACTAATATGTATATATTAATATACAATATATTTACATAATACAACATAATACAATATATTAATATACTAATATATTAATAGAATATCCTGCTTCTCCAGGTATTTTTATAATTCAACTATGAGCCATTTTTCTCATTTATTGTATTCATACTCTCATTGATCCAATTATAAAAATAGAATAAAAATACATAACCACCAAGAAAAATAAGTACATTCTGTATTCTGAAATCTGTCTACAACATCATTTTGAACAGAAGGAATGCATGCATTTCCACTTTGACGGACCTCAGAGCTCCAAACACATACCACTGTCTATGACCTATACGCCACCAGTAGTCATCAGCAATCCAGGACTGGTCTTCCTTTCCTCCATTCATTCCTATATTTTTGTGATTGATTTATTAATTCACTGATAATAACATTAAAGCTTCTGATTCAAAGAGCTCTAAGAAGAGCCTTGATATTCCCAATCTGTACATGGAATCCTTCTGATATTGATATATCTGTTTCATTATCCTCAATTTTTCATATATGAGTTATCAGTATGATGCTTCATATCACTCCAATATCTACCACTTACATACAGTTGACCATTTTGATTATATTATAGGCTCTTTGGTAATATCCCTAGTCCTCTTAAACCATTCAAACAAAATAAGAATGTTGATTACAACTCCCATTGGTCTGCAGGCTCCCAACCATGATAAAAACAGAGCATGTGACCATGGAGGAATTCTCAAATCATAACAAGCACATCCATTCTGAAAGAATAGAAAGCAGAGAAGATAACAAAATTGAGACACTCTCAGTATTGATCCTTGATTTTCACCTGTTATTAGTCATTTTGGCAATCATTATTTGGAGCATATTTGCTTTATTTATTTTCTTTTAATAAAATAAATAACTTCAAAATTACCACTAACTCCGAATATGAACATTGTCTATAATTTATACCATTTATATCATACACCATTTATTTCTTTTTAGGCTTCACTGATTTTAACATATGTTAATAGCTCTTCTTGCCTTACAAGTTTTTATACTTGGGCAGTGTTTCAATCATTTTTTATTTATTATATATTTGTTTCCTGATTCTCACATTGATCCAGTTATAAAAATAGAAGAAAAGCACATAATCACACAGAGAAAAAGCACATTCTGTATTTTTTTAATCTGCCTATAACATCATTTGAAACAGAGAATAAGGCAGATTTTACCTGTGACGGACCTCAGAGTTCCAGACACGTATTCATCATGTATGACTCATACGCCACCGGTAGTCATCATCGATCCAGAATGTGTCCTGTTTTTCTCTGTAGACTTTTACCTCGTCTATTGATTAATTCATTAAATCGCAAATAATAATTTTAAAACTTTTGGCTCACAAATACCTCATAACAGCATTAACATTAACGTTCTTTATCTGCATATAGAATCATTCTCACATTGGCCAATGCTTCATTAACTATCCTCAGTTTTTCAAATACATGTTGTCAATGTAATGCTGCATGCTACTCCCATTTCTCTCACTGGGCCGCAGCTGGCCATTTTTGATTGAACAGACCTTCTAATAATACATCAAGTCCTCCAAACTAAGACCAGAACTTGATTACTCACATTGGTCTGCATGCTCCCAATCAAGAGGCAGCCACAGCATGTCACCAGGGAAGAACGCTTCAATCAGCACAAGCCATTCATTCTGAGGAATACAGAGCAGAGACGGTAACAAAACCGAGACATTCTCACTAATAATGATCCTTGCTTTGCACCTTTCCTTTAGTCTATCCTTTAAGCATTCATTAGGTGAACTAATATTTATTTCATTTTCTCCTAAGAAAAAGAACAATTTGATCTAGCAAGTGAATAAGAATTTGAACATTATCTAATACTTATTCTGTCTATATTATTATAAGCCAAAGAGTAACAGGTATGTACAATATCTCTTTGGACCTCACCAATTTCAATATGCATTCATAGTATTTATTGCCTCACCACATATTTTTATAGCTATAAAATGCTCACCCATTTTTTATGTTTATTGATTCTTGAATTAGAATGAAAATAAAACCAAAATGACTTCATTCTATCTTCCTGACATCGGTCTACAGAATCACGTATGACAGAGGGAATGGACTAGGTCTCTTTTGTGATGGATCTCAGAGTTCCAGACAGGTACTTATCACGGATGACTCATACGCCACCGGTGGTCATCACTGATCCAGAATTGGCCTTCCTTTTCTCCATTCACTTTTACCTTGTCCAGTGGTTGCTTCATTAATTCACTAATTATAATTTCAAAGCCTACGATTCAAAAAACTCCAAGAGCAGACTTGGTATTTCTGATCTGTACTTTATCCTCAGTTTTTCATACATGCATTATCAATATAATACTTCATGTCACTCCCATGTCTACCATTGGGATAACTCTGGCCATCTGTGACCATATTTCACACTTTTTAATAATATATTGATTTTTTTTTTTTTTTTTTTTTTTTTGAGACGGAGTTTCACTCTTGTTACCCAGGCTGGAGTGCAATGGCGCGATCTCGGCTCACCGCAACCTCCGCCTCCTGGGTTCAGGCAATTCTCCTGCCTCAGCCTCCTGCGTAGCTGGGATTACAGGCACGCACCACCATGCCCAGCTAATTTTTTGTATTTTTAGTAGAGACGGGGTTTCACCATGTTGACCAGGATGGTCTCGATCTCTTGACCTCGTGATCCACCCGCCTCGGCCTCCCAAAGTGTTGGGATTACAGGCTTGAGCCACCGCGCCCGGCCATATTGATTATTCTTAAACAAACCACCCAAACCACAATGAGGATTTTGACCATTACTCACATTGGTCCACATGCTCCTTCCTAAGCATGGTGCAAACAGAGCATGTGACCATAGAGGAATTCTCAAGACAGAACAAGGACATCCATTCTGAGGGGTACAGAGCAGAGAAGATGACAACAAATTTGAGACATTGTCACCATTGATCCTTGCTTTTTACATTTCTTTAGTCATTTAGGCTACCACCATTTAGAGTACAGCATATTTATTTCACTTTCTCTTAAGAAGATGAGCAATTCTGAATTTGCCACTGACCCAGAACACGAACACTGTCTACAGTGTTCATATATCCTGTCTATATCATTATTAGCCAAAGAAGTGACAGACACGTACCATTTAATTCTCTTTGAACTTCACTATTTCCAATACATATTAATAGTATTTCTTGCCTCACCACCTATTTTTATAATTGGGCAACACTTCACCTAATATATCTTTATTTCTGTTTATATTTGTTTATTGATTCTCACATTAACCCAATAATAAAAATAGAATAAAAATGTATGAGTACAAAGACCAAAAACAAACCCACTCTATGTTCGTGATATCCGCCTAAAGAATTGTATCAAACAGGAAATGGGGTAGATTTCTTTTGTGATGCACCTCAGAGTTCCAGACACATATTCACTGAAGATGACTCATATGCCACCAGTAGTCATCATCGTCCACAGGACAGGTGCTCTTTCTCTCCATTCACTTCTAATTGCTTATTAATTTAGTAATCCACTAATCATAAATTTTAAAATCATGGTTCATGAAATCCCAACAAGAGCCTAGAGATTCCTAATCCCTACAATGAGTCATTCTAATATGGATATAGCTGTTTCATTCATTATCCTCAGTTTTCATAGATGCATTATCAATATAATGCTTCACACGACTCCCATATTTATTGCTAGAACATCACTGGCCATCTTTGATTATATTATATCTTTTTTAGTAATTCATTGGATATTTTGAAATAACCACTCAAACCAAGAGAAGAATTTTAATGATTACTCTATGCTACTACCAAATAGACGCAACCGTAGAACAAACGATAAAGGAGGAATATTCCAATCGGCTCAAGTGCACCCATTCTAATGAAGACAAAACAGAGTCGATATTTTTAAAAGCAGACACCTCATCCTCTATAATTCCTGCTTTCTGCATTTCATTTACTCAATCATTCAGGTAATTCATAATTTTCCATGAAGTACATGTTTTTTCTCTTAACAAAAGGGGCAACTGCAGACTTAGAAGAATTGGTTCAGAACAACAAAATTGATCCTATTAGTGTCCATATGATCTTACGCCAAAGAAAGAGGGAACATCTTTGATCTGATATTTTCTTAATGGATGTTAGCTTTCTCTACTTGTATTAATAATATTGATAGCCTCCCTATATATTTTTATAGCTGGACAATGCTGCACTCTCTTCAATTTTATTTATTGACTTATATTTGTTTAATGGTTCTATCATTAATTCCTTAATACTAAGAAATCTAAATCTAAGAATCTAAAATAAGAACATGGTCTTTATGTACCCCAAACATCTGCCTGTAGGATTATTCCGAACAGAAGGAATAGACTAACTATGTTTTGTGCTGATGCTCAGAGTCCCACACATACACTACTCCTGGTTCATGACTCCTGCGCCACTATCTGTAATCATTGTTCTATGCATACTCATTGGCCAACTTTTTCTTCAATCTTACATTTGCAGATGCTGAATCACGGATTCACTGACAATGAGTGAGTCAGAAAAATGTGAAAAACAAATGCTAGAATAGTGCTCACAGCTATCAATACAACCATTTCCTATATACATCTTTTTCATTTAATGATGTCAACATTAATGATTAATCAACATCATATTTCACATTATTATCGAGCCATAAACAGCTATTTGATTAATAATTTTTCAATAATACCACGAATACTGTCAAACAACTGAAACCGAGACAAGAACATTGACTATATTCACACGGGTCTCTTTTGGAACGGAGTTAACATGAGAAACTTGATCAATTGCAGAGTGCTCAAATCAGCAAACAGCATCTTCACTGAAGGGTTCTAGGTGGAGATCATGATAAAAAGTTTGAGATATTCTGTCCATTCATCTGTAATTTCTTTCATTCAGCTAGTCATTTAGGTATTTATTAATTTATGTAATATTGATTTATTTTTCTTCTTATAAACTTCAAACTTGTAATTGACTTGGGGCAGTCACTGGCTCTTATGAGTAATTATTACTATTGTCTCTATCATTTTGAGTCAGAAATATTATCCACTTATTATCCATTCCAATGTACACTAACAGTATTTTCCTTACTGCATATTTTAGCAATGAACAATGCTTTGTCCTCTTCGTTTTATTTATTTTACTTGCACATTTATTTGCTTATTCTGCCAGTGCTACTTTTACCATATCTTTAAAACTCATACATACAAGACTAACCACAAACTCCTTGTATATTTCAGGTATCTGTCTATCATATCACTTTAAACATGGGAATAGACTAGACTCTATTTGTGTTGGACCTCAAAGTTTCTGATACGTACTATTCCTCATATACAACCAGCATATACAACCACACAAGCCACCAGTTGTCACTGATGGTCCAGGATTGGCCTTCTTTTTCTTCATTCTTTTTTTTTGGGGGGGGGGGCGGGGACAGAGTTTCGCTCTTGTTACCCAGGCTGGAGTGCAATGGCACGATCTCGGCTCACCGCAACCTCCGCCTCCTGGGTTCAGGCAATTCTCCTGCCTCAGCCTCCTGAGTAGCTGGGATTACAGGCATGCACCACCATGCCCAGCTCATTTTTTGTATTTTTAGTAGAGACGGGGTTTCACCATGTTGACCAGGATGGTCTCGATCTCTTGACCTCGTGATCCACCTGCCTCGGCCTCCCAAAGTGCTGGGATTACAGGCTTGAGCCACCGCGCCCGGCCTCTTTTTCTTCATTCTTATCTACACTTGTTTACTGAGTAATTCATTAATAAGACATACACATAAAGCACAAAAAAAAGCTCTTCAATATCACTCGCATTCATCTATACTATCACAAACATCCTAAATCCCTTTCTCTAAATGAATTAAGTTTTTTACATAGGCATTAATCAACGTAATACTTCATATCAATCTGAAATAAAACATCAGCATGACTGACCTCCTTTGACTCACTCAAACCAAGGTACAGTAATTTTTACCATTGCTGATGCTGATCTCTCTGCTCCTAACACCATGGAAGAATAAGCCAATCAGGGCACAGGAGTTTGTGACCATGGAAGAATAAGCCAATCAGAGCACAGGAGATGATTACATATTCTCTTCATTGACCCATGATTCCTCCATCCTTTTATAGAGTCATTCAGGCATTTATAAATTTATATGAATATTTATTTCTTTTTCTCTTAATAAATCAAACATGAAATACACAAGTTAATCAGATAAAAAACGGTTACTTGTCACTTTCTGTGATCACCATTAGTCTAAGACAAAACACACTCGTTCCAATGTATTCATTCCAATTTAAATTAATAGTATTTTTCCCTCCTGTATATTTTAACAATGAGCATGCTTTACCACCTTGATGTATATTCATTATGTATTTATCTACTCTATCAGTGATTCCTTACAACTTTTAAGAATGCATGACCACAAAGATTCTTGTATATCACTGACACCGACTTAGCGGAGCTTGTAAAGAGAGGAAGTGGTCTGCACACTCACAGTGGTCTGCATTCCCCTCACACAGGGGCAGCCACAGAGCACAGGCCAGGGAAGGATGCTTCCGCCAGCTGGAGTGGGTCCAATCTGAGGAGCAGCAACAGAACAGATGATTTTAAAATTCAAGCATTTCTCCAATGACCCTTGTTTTTCATCTCTCATTTAGTCACTTAAATCATCATTATCTGGAATATATTTATTTCATAGTCTCTTAAAACAAACAACTCTGAACTTGCCCCTAACAAGGACACTTATTATTCATCACCTTTTGACTCTTACACCACCAGTCATCATCATTAGTCCAGGAATGGCTCATCTTTTCTTCATTCATTTCTACATTGTTTATTGATTAATTCAGTAATTTACTAATGATTCGTTTAAAGTGCTACAAGGACAAAACCTGAAAAAAGCCTTGATATCCCTAATAAGTGTATAGAATCACTCTCAGATCAATGTCACTCCTTTACTAAATATCCTCAGTTTTCTTAAATGAATTAACTGAATGAATTCATCAGTAGACTACTTCATACCAATTTCATGTTTGTCACTGGGCTGCAGTTGGCCTTCTTTAATATATTGCATGATTTTTAATACTATAGTAATTGTCCTTTAAAAAAGCACTCAAGCCAAGAACGTTGACTATTACTCATAATGGCCTCCAAGCTCCTAACACACAGTTGCAACCACACGGCCCAAGGGCATGAAGGGGTGCTTGAGACAGCTCAGGTGAGACCACTCTGAGGTGCACAAAGTAGGCCTACTGACAAAAAATTTGAGACCTTATGGCCATTGTTCCCTGCTCCGTGTCTAACATTTAACCAGTAATTAGGGCAATCATTAATCGGGAGGATATTACATTTTCTCTACAAATGAACAACTTCAAATTTGCCACAGACTCCGAGCATGAACGTTGTCTGTAATTTAAACTGCCTGTGTCATCATGAACCAAAGAGGTAAAAGTCACATACCATTAATTTCTCATTGAATTTCATGTTTTCAACATACAGTGTTAGTATTTCCTGCCTTGCCACATATTTTTATATTTGGACAGTGTTTCATCTATTTTATCTCAATTTACTTTTATATTTGTTCATTGATTCTTTTTATCAATCCAATTACAATAACAGAATGAACGTGCATGAAAAGAAAGAGTTCCACACACAAATAATTCATTATCCAAGACTCATACGCAGGCAATTTTCATCATTAATCCAGGAAGGGCCCACTTTTCCCCAACTCATTTCCAAGTTATTTATTCATCAATTTAGTAATTATAATTTTAAAACTCTGTGATTCACAAAAATACAAAGATTTCTATCCCAAACATGTACTTAGAATCCTTCTCACTTCAATATCTCTTATGGTAATAACAATTACAGTATTTCATGTATGCACTGAACAATATAACACCTCTGAGTAATCCTGTGCTTATCACTGAGCTACAGCTCACCCTCTTTGATTATATTTCACGCTTTTTAATAATACAGTGACTGCCCATAAAGAAACCATGCAAAGCAAGGCAAGAACTTTAGCTATTACTCACATTGTTCTCTAGGCTCCTAATGCAGACATGCAACGAAAAATCTTGTGACCAAGGAGGAATTCTTAAGTCAGCTTGAGTGGGTCCATTCTGAGAAATATAAATCAGAGACAAGGGTAAAAAGATTTTTTTTAAATTGAGGCATTCTCTGCACAGAATGAAAAGGCATGAGCACAAAGACCAAAACCAAGGTCCTCGTATATTCCCGGTAACTGCCTGCAGGGCCATCCAACCAGAGTAAATGAATTACATCTCTTTCACACGGGACCTCAGAGTTCCAGACACGTATTCATCGTCTATGACTCATACGCCACCAGTAGTCATCATTGATCCAGGACTGGCCCTTCTGCTCTATTGTCACCTACATTTGGTTATTGATTAATTCATTAAATCATAAAATGATAATGTTATTATTCACAAAAACTCAAGAAGAGTCCTTATATCCCAAATTGGTACATAGAATTATTCTCATATCAACAGATCAGTTTCATTCTCTTATTTTTCATATATGCATTAATCGATACAATGTTTCAGACATCCCATATTTATCACTGTTATAATCGCATTCATTATATTTTATGCTTTTTAATAATATAGTGAATAATCTTAAGATAAAAGAAATACTGAAACCAAGAAAATAATTTCAGGCATTACTCACTTTAGTCTCCGTGCTCTTAATACAGAGAGGCAACCACAGAACTTGTGGCCATGATAGTATCCATTCTAAGAGTATGAAGCAGAGCAAACGATAAAAAATATTAAGTCATTATCACCATTGATTCTTGATTCCTGCTTTCTGCATTTCATTTACTAGGTCACTTAGGTGTCTATTATTTGTTTGCTCTGTGTGTGTGTATATACATATATCCATATGTGTGTGTGTGTGTGTGTGTGTGTATCTTATGCAAAGGAATACAGCTATCATGAGAATAATCCAGAACAATAAAATCAACTCTTACCTATCAATTTCTGTATGATTCTTACCAAAAGTAGTAATATCTTTTATTAATTTATTTGTAAATGAATGCAAGTGCTTTAAATTTTGATTAATAATATTTCTTGCCTCCACACATATGTTCATAGTTGGACAATGCTTGACTCTCTTTTCCTTTATACATTAATTTGTATTAGTTTAATGAATCTATTATTGATCCATTGATAGTAATAAATAATCTATGGAATCAATACATAGATATCATCTATATATTCCTGATATTTCTCTGTAAGTCAATTTCAACAGAGGGAGTAGAATAACTATGTGTTGTGTTGGACCTCAGAGTTTCAGACACATATTATTCATCGTCCGTAACTCCCATGCCACCGTTTGTCATCATTGGTCCATGACTGTGTCTCCTCTCCTTCATGTGTTTCTACATTTTTATCAACTAAATGATCATTATTGACATTAACACATGGTTCAGACAAAGCCAACAACAAGGTCTTTGAATATCTATAACATCTACAGAGTCATTTTCAACATAGACTAGATCCCTTTCATTAATTGGCCACAATGTTGCACGGGATAAATTAAACAACATACTGTTTCATGTCACGCTCATCACTGAGCCGGGGTTAACTTTGTATTCATTGAATACTTCTTAATTTTTTGATTGACAGAGAAAATTATATGTATTTACCATGCACAACGTGATGTTCTGAAATATACATACATTGTGGAATAACTAAATCTATCTAATTGACATATGTATTACATCTCAGAGTGATCATTTTGTGGTGAGAACACTTAACATCTACTCTCTAGCATTTTTCAAGAATATGATGGATAACATTAACTATAGTCACCATGTTGTATAATATTTCTCTGAACTTATTTCTCCTCTCTAACTGAACAATTTAATACATTTTATAATAATACCAAGAATATCCTCAAACAAATTACTGAAACCAAGATAAGAACTTTGACTAAACTCACCTTGGTGTCTTTCCAAACACAGAGCTAGCACAAAAATTTTGATCCCAACAGAATGCTTGAAACAGCTCGCTGTATCCATTCTGAAGAGTAGAAAGCACAGAAGAGGATTTAAAAACGCTGACATGTTCTCTCCATTGATTCACGTCATCTGCCATTTGTCGACACTGCCTTTTAGGCCTTTATTAATTTATGGAATATTTATGTATTTTTCACTTAATAAACTTTAAAACTTGGAAATGAATGAGAGCAAGAACTATCCCCTGTTACAGTCTATGTCATTGGTAGTCCAAGACATAAAATCCTTGATCCATTTATTACCCATTCCATTTCTACTAATATTCATTTGCCTTACTATGAAGTTTAGTAATAAACAATGCTTCACCGTCTTCATTCCTATTAATTTTTACATGTGTTTATTTATTCTGCCCTTGATTCATTTACAATAATATTTTTAAATTCATGAACACAAATATGAAGAACATAACCCTCATAGATTCTGACATCTGTGCATGAGTTCCCTTCAAAATGGGGAACAGATTAGATCCCATTTGTGTTGGACCTCAGAGTTCCAGGCATGTGCTATTCACTGGGCATGACTCATACACCACCAGTCATCATCATTGGTCCAGGATCTCTTTGATTTCACACTAATACAAATTTATCTATTTATTAATTCATTAATAAGAAATACACATCAGTCAGAAAATATAAGAATGATATTCATAAAGAGTCCTGACATTCATCTACAGATTCATTTCCATAGACTAAATCTCTTCGTTACTGTCTTCTGTGGTGATGATCTTCTTTGGTCCATATATTGAACAATCATTATAATACGTCTATCAATCTGATAGTCCATATATTGACCAATCGCTATAATAAGTCTATCAATCTGATAGTAAAATTGGCATGTTTGGGCCTCTTTGGTTATGTTTAGTACATTTTAATAATATAGGAAATACCTTTGTGTAAAAAATCTACACCAACAAAGACAAGAGCATTGACTATTACTCACATTGGTCTTCACACTCTAACACAGAGATGCAGCCAACATGTTGGTGAGCAGGGATGAGATCGAATCACCTCAAAAGCAGCTATTCTGAGGAGTATGGAGCAAAAAAAGATGATTAAAAAATGAGACATTCCTCCATTGATCCTTGCTTAGCATCTTCCATTTAGTCATTAATTCAGATAATATTACTTGGAGTATATTTATTTCCTTTTCTCTTGAAATGAATAATTTTGAACCTGCCACTGATCCAGAACAAAGACATTATCTAATTAATACAGTCCATATCATCCTTTGCCAAAATAAACGGCTATGCACCAGTTACCTCTCTTTGGATTTCAGTGTTTTCTAGATATATTAACAAATTTCCTTGTCTCACTACAAATTTTTATAGACAATGTTTTCCGCATTTTACCTTTATTTATGTATTGTTTATTGATTGTTTCATTGACCCAATCATAATAAAAACATAACAATGCATGAACAAAGTGACCCAATTTCTTTTGTGAAGGACCTCAGAGTTCCAGACACACATTCATCATGTATGATTCATGCGCCACCAGTGGTCATCATCGATCCAGGATTGGGCCTCCTTTTCTCCATTCTTTTCTATATTGTCTGTTGATTTAATCATTAGTTCACTAATAGTAAATTAAAACCCTATGATTCACAAAACCCCAAGAACAGCCTCGATGTTCTTAATCTGTATATACAATCATCTTATCTCAATGTATCTTCTGCATTAATTATTCTCAGCTTTTCACACATGTATTAATCAATATAATGTTTCACATTAATTTCATATTTGTCATTTCTAACAGTGGGCCTTACGTGATTATATTTCACAATTTTTGGCAATGCAGTGAATATCTGAAACCACCTAAACCACAGCAAGAACTTTGACTATTACGCACGTTGATCTCTAAGCTCTGATACAGAGGTACAACCACAGGGCTGGTGGCCATGGAAGAAGGCATAAATCACCTTGAGATTAGCACTCTGAAGAGTACAAAAAAGGGAAGATGATTTTTTAAAATTAGATATTCCTCCACTGACCCTTGCTTATTGAGGTGTTTTGTGTGTTGGACCTCAGAGTTCCAGATACGTATTATCCATCACCTAATGCTTACATGCCGGCAGCTGTCATCACTGGTCCAGGAAGGCCCGCTTTCTTTCCATTCTTCACCACATTGTTTATTGATTAATTCATAAATTCACTGATAATATTTTTTAAAGCCTACGATTCACAAACCTCCAACAAAAGCCTACCTATTTGTTAGGTATCCATCCTTATTCACACATCAGTATATAACTTTTATTATTTATCTCGATTTTTCCTGTATGCATTAATCAGTATAATGATTCATGCTAATCCCGAATGATGATGTTTCCATTAGGCCTTTTGTGATTATATTTCACACTTTTTAATAATACAGTGAACTTCCTTAAACAAACCACACAACCCATGACAAAAATTTTGACTCTTACTCACATTGGTCTCCAGGCCCTTAATAGAGATTCAACCATACAGTCAGAACCACGGGGAGAATTCTTAAATCAGCTCAGATGGGTCCAATGTGAGAAAAACAGGACAGAACAGAAGATTTTAAAAAGAAGAAGGAGAAGAGACATCTGAGACATTCTCTCCATTGATTCTTGCTTTTTACCTTTAGTCAGTCATTTAAGTAATCATAAATTTGGAGTATTTTCTCTTAAGAGAATGATCAAATTCAAAATTGCCATCTATCCAGAACATGAATACTGTCTGTAACTTACACCATTCTGAGCTAAGGAGGTAAGGGTCATGTGAAAGTTATTTCAAATTGAAATTGAGCATTTTTCTAATACATTAGTAGTGTTTCTTTGCTCACCACATATTTTTAATTTGAACAATACTTCATTAATTTACTTATTGATTGGTTCTTTCATTGATCCAATTATAATAATAGAATCAAAGTATATGAACACAAAGATCAAGCCCAAGATCTTTGGATAGTCCCAATATGGTCCTAGACAGCACCTTATCTCAAGAACATGGGATGACATGTCTTTTGTGTTGACCATCGAAGTCCAGACATGTTTTACTCATCGTATGTGGCTCATGCTGTCACTGGTCTCAATTTTCATAATTTCTACTTTTGTTTTGAATGAATCGTTAATCAATTTCTATGAGTAAAATAAGAACATGATTCACCAAAATCTACAAACACGATGCCTGACATAACAAACACCTGTCTAGAGAATTCTTTTCCAAGTTGACAATGTCATTAATCCACCTCTATGTGGCACATTATTGATTAACAAATATGTTCGCCATCAGGCCATGGTTAAATTTTCAATAATTTGTATTTTTTAATAATACTGTGAATACCTTTAATCAAGTACCCAAAGGAAGACAAAACTTCTGGCTATTACCCACGTTAATTGCTTTCCAGACACAACAGCAATACAAGTTTCCATCCTAGCAGAGCGCCAAGTCCACTTGGTGCATCTATGCTGCTCCATCTTTATACAAAGCAGGGGAGACAATCAAAAAATGAGAAATTCTCTCCACTGACTGATATATTCCACCGTCTGTTTGTACCATCTTTTTGGCTTTTAATAATTTATGGGGCTGGGCGCAGGGGCTCACACCTGTAATCCCAGCACTTTGGGAGGTCAAGGTGGGTAGATCACCTGAGGTCAGGAGTTTGAGATCAGCCTGGCCAATGTGGTGAAACCCCGCCTCTACTAAAAATACAAAAATTAGCTGGGCGCGGTGGCAGGTGCCTATAATCCCAGCCACTTGGGAGGCTAAGACAGGAGAATCACTTGAACTCAGGAGGCGGAGGATACAGTGACCCAAGATTGTGCCACTGCACTCCAACCTGGGCAACAAGAGAGAAACTCCATCTCAAAATAATAATAATAATTTATGGAAATATTTCTTTGTTTTTCTCTTAGTAAAATGAACTTCAAACTTGTAACTGACTAAGAATAATTATTATCCGTCACAGTTGATGTCATCTTTAGCCCAAGACATAATAAATTTGTTCTATGTATTATCCGTTCTAACTTATACTAATAATCCGTTTTCGGGGTTTTGTGGTTGTTGTGTTGTTGTTGAGGCAGAGTCTCCCTCTGTCACCCAGGCTAGAGTGCAGTGGCATGATCTCAGCTCACTGCAACCCCTGTCTCCCGGGTTCCAACTATTCTCCTACCTCAGCCTCCTGAGTAGCTGGGACTACAGGTGTGTGCCACCATGCCTGGCTAATTTTTGCATTTTTTAGTAGAGATGGGGTTTCACCATATTGGTCAGGCTAGTCTCGAACTCCTGACCTCGTTATCCTCCCATCACAGTTTCCCAAAGCGCTGGGATTACAAGCGTGAGCCACCGCGCCCAGCCTAATCCATTTTCTTTGTTACGTATTTTAGCAACAAGAAAATGCTTCACTCTCTTCTATTCATTTATACATTCATTTATTTATCCTGCCCTTGATTCTTTTACAATAATATTTTTCAAAGACTAACATAAATATCCTGAAAAAGAACCTTGCATATCCTGATATCTGTCTATTAGATCCCTTCACAAAGGAGGAACAGACTGGATCCCATTTGTGTTGGACCTCAGAGTTCTAAACACAGGGTATTCACTGTGCATGACTCATACGCCACCGGTAGTCATCATTGGTCCAGGATCAGACCTCCTTCTCCATTCCTATCTTAATTTGTTTATTCATTAATGTATGAACAAAGAAATACACAGAAATCTAGAAAGAAAAATAAGAATTAGATTCTTAATATCCCTAACATCCATATATATAATCCTTTCCACAGAGACTGAATTTCTTTCATTAACTGAGCTGTTGCATAGATGCGTTACTTAGTATAATGCTTCACATCAATCTGATATTTAACATGGACAGATTTCCCTTATTTGATTATATTTAATACTTTAAAATAATACAGCAAATACCATTCTAAAAACCGCTTGATTTGGTGTAAGAACACGGGCTGCTACTCACATTGGTCTGCATGCTCCTGACGCACAGATGCGACCACAGAGCTCATGGCCATGGCAGAGTGCTTGAATCAACTCAAGTGTGTTCATTCTGAGGATTACTGAGCAGAATAGTTGATTTTTAAAAGGTTGCAACATTCTTTCCACTGGCCTTCAACTCCTCTTTCCGTTAGTCATATACAATTAGTAATTTGTAATAATGCTTATTTTTCTCCTATGCAGGCTAACGACGTCAATCTTGCCACTGACCCAGAAAATGAATACAGATATTTATCTATTACTGTCCACATCGTATTTAGCCAAAGATTTAACAATCCTGTACCATTTATTTCTCTTTAGACTTCAGAGATTCCAGCATATAATAATACTATTTCTTGCCACATCATCTATTTTTATAATTGGACAATGGTTCACATGAGTCATCTTTATTTAGTTATATATTTGTTCATTGATTCTTGTATTGATCCAATTACAATAATAGAAGGAAAATCATGAGCAGAAAGGACTGGCTTCCTTTTGCATTGGACCTCAGAGTTCCAGACACGTATTATTCATCATCCAAGACTCATACGCCGGTATTCGTCATCATTGGTCCAGGCAGGGCCCACTTTCTTTTCATCCAAATCTACAGTATTTGCTGCTTAATTCAGTAATTCATGTGGAATCGTTATAAAAATTCATGGTTCACTAATTGAAGTATATCATTGATATTCATTATATATGCAAACACACACATGTATATATATTAGTTGACTATTTTTTTTATTTTCAATAACACAGTAAATACCCTTAAACAAACCACCCAAACCACACAAGAATTTGACTATTACTCACATTGAAATCTTTCATGTAAGGACAACAACACAGGTCTTGATCAGGGCTAAATTCATAATCAGCTCAGTGCATCCATTCTAAAGAGTCCAAAGCAGAGAAGATGATAAAATTACTGAGACATTCTTTCCATCAATCCATACATGTCATCATTCATTTACATTGTCACTTTGGCTTTTATTAACCAATGGTAATAGTTATTAATAAAATAGAATTTAAGGTTGTAAGTAATCGAAAGTAGTGCTATAACCTATCACAATCTATGTCATTTTTGGTCCAAGACATAATACCTTTCATCCACGCATATATTATCCATTCCAATTTAAATTAAAATTAATTTTACATAATACATATTTTAGTAATAAACAATGCTTCACCTCCTTATCTTCTTCATTTATACATTTATTTATTCATCCTGCCCTTGACTCTTTTACAACAATGTATTTTTAATTCTTGAGCAGGAAGATCATGAAAAAGATCCTTCTATATCCTGTATCTTGACATCTGTTTATAAGGGGGAATGGACGAGGTCCCATTGTATTGGACCTCAGAGTTCCAGGCACACGACATTCACTGTGCATGACTCATATGCCACCACTTGCCATCACTGGTCCAGGATCAGCCCTCTTTCTCTATTACCATCTAAATTTATTTGTTGACTAATCCACCAACAAGGAAATACACATAAGTCTTCAAAAAAAGAATGAGATTCTTGAATGTCCCTAACATTCATCCATATAATCATTTCCACAAAAACTAAATGTCTTTCATTAACTGAGCTCAATGTTTCACATACACATTAATTAACGTAAAGTTTTTAATCTAATGTTTAAATATTGCATTCTTCACCTTCTTTTGTTGTGTTTAATACTTCTTATAATATAGCAAACAACAATGCAAATAATATAGCAAATAGTCGATGCTCCTTCAAAACAAGAAGGAGCATTGACAATGACTCACATTGGTCTTCATGCTCCGAAGGCATAGATGCAGCCACAGAGCTTGTAACCATGGGATCAGCGGGCAAACATCCATCCCGAAGCTCGCAGAGCAGAGCACAAACAGATGAGACAGTCCTCCTTGATCTGTGTTTGTCATCTTCCCTTGAGGAAAACATTTGAGAAATCATTATTTGAAGGATACTTATTTTATTTTCTCTTAAGAAAATGAATACCTTGCAACTTTCCTTGACCCAGATGTTGACTTTTATGTATAAATACCAAATGTATCATCCTTGGTCAAACAAGTTACAGTGGTGTAACATTTATTTCTCTTGAGACGTCAATGCTTTAATATAATATTTTAACATATTATTATATTTAACATGTTAAATATTACATTAAATATTATATATTAATTAATATTACTTTCTATTTAATATATAAAAGCTTTAATATAATAATAACACATCTTGCCTCACCACTTATTTTATCATTGGACAATACTTCATCCCCTTCATATACGTGCATGTATACGTAAAAATTATTTCATTTATCCAATTGTAATAATAGAATGAAGTGAACAAACCCAAAGACCAAAAGCAAACATATTGTGTATTCATAGGATCATTTGAATCAGAAGGAAGGGGCCAGAGTTCATTTGTGATGGACCTCAGAGTTCCAGACACGTATTTGTTGTATCTGGCTCATACGCCACCAAGTAGTCATCATTGATAAGGGCTGATCTCTATTTTGCTGTTCATTTCTACCTTGTCTATTGATTAAGTCATTTATTCATTAGTAACTTTCAAGGCTCATGATTCACAAAATCCAATAACACTCCTGATATTCCATATCAGTATGCAGAATCACTGAAACATTAGGTGTGTTTCGTTATCCTGTTTTATATATACGCATCAATATAATATTTCATGTCACTCCCATATAATTGGGATAGCACTGGCCATCTTCAAGTGTATTTCACACTTTTAAATAATACATTGAGTACTCAAACAAACCACCGAAACCGAAGTAAGGACTTTGACCATTACTCACATTGGTCTGCATGCTCCTTCCTAAGCAGGGTGCAAACAGAGTACATGACCTTGGAGGATGTTCTGATCCTCAAATATGAACAAGGACATCCATTCTGATGAGTACAGAGCAGAGAAGATGATAACAAATTTGAGACATTGTCACCATTGATCCTTGCTTTTCACCTATAATTAGCTAGTCACTTATGCAATCATTATTTGGATTTCATATTAACTTCATTTTCTGTTAAGAAAATTTCATTAATCACAGTAATGTCATTCTTTGTTAAGAAAATGAACAATTTCAATCTTGCTACTGGCCAAGAATTTGAACATTGTCTATAATTATAGTGGCTATATTATCATTGGTCAAAGAGGTGACAGGCATGTGCCATTTATTGCTCTTTGGACTTCATGTTTTCAATACATATGAAATGCTTCTTGCCTCACTAGATTTTTATAATCAGAAAATTATTAACATTATTTATCTTTTTATATATAATATATATATTATATACAGGCTCTCGCATTGAGCAACTATAAAAATATAATGAAAATAAGTAAACACAAAGATCAAAAACAAATAAATTCTGTATTTCTGACATCTATATATATAGGATCATTTCAAACATACAGAATGAGCTCAATTTCTTTTGTGATGGACCTCAGAGCTCCAGACACATATTCAACATATAAGACTCATACGCCACCGGCAGTCATCATCAGCCTAGGATGGATCATCTCTGTCTTCACTCACTCTTTCTTGTCTGTTGACTGACTCGTTAACTTACTACTAAGTTCCTATGATTCAAAATAAAGCCCAACAATAACCTGGATATTCCATCTCTGTATCTAGAATCATTCTAACACTGATATGTCTGTTTGATTAATTGCCCTCATCTATGCATTACCAATATAATACTTTATATAACTCTCATATCTGTCATAGGGAAAACACTGGCCATCTTCGTATTATACGCTTGTTTTTTTAGATGGAGTCTCATTCTGTTGTGCAGGCTTGAGGGCAGTAGTGCAATCTTGGCTCACTGCAAGCTTCACCTCCAGGGTTCAAGTGATTCTCCTGCCTCAACCTCCCAAGTAGCTGGGACTACAGGCACCCACCCCCATATCCAGCTGATTTTTGTATTTTTAGTAGAGACAGGGTTTCACCATGTTGGCCAGGCTGGTCTCAAACTCCTGACCTCAGGTGATTCACCCGCCTCAGCCTCCCAAAGTGCTGGGATTACAGGCATGAGCCACCACACCTGGCCTATTAAAAACTATTTTATAATATATAACATAGTCTTCAACAAAGCACCACAACAAGAGCTTTGGCCATTACTCACATGGGTCTGCACGCCCCTTCCTAAGCACAGTGCAAACAGAGGACCATGGGAGAATTCTTAAAACAGTACAAGCATGTCCATTTTGAGGAGAACAGAGCAGAGAAGATGACAACAAATTTGAGACATTATCACCATTGATCTTTGCCTTTCACCTTTCATTTAGTGAGTCATTTAGGCCGTAATTATTTGGACTGCATTTATTTCATTTTCTCTTAAGAAGATGGACAATTTTGAACTTGCCACTAACCAAAACACTGAACGTTATTTATAATTATACTATCTATGTCATCATTGGCCAAAGAGGTAACAGACATGCACCATTTATCTCTCTCTGGACTTCACTGTTTTCAATACATATTAATAATATATCCTGAAATACTGGAACACTGCTTCACCCATTTTATCTTTACTTATGTATTTGTTTATTGATTCTTACATTGATCCAATTATAAAAATAGAATGAAAATATCACAAAGCAAAATATTTCTATAGCATCATTAGAGGCAGGGAGAATGGACCATGCATCTTCTCTAACAGACCTCGGAGCTTCAGAGACATGTTCATCGTCTAAGACTCATACGCCACCAGTGGCCATCATCGATCCAGGATCAGTCCTCTTTTTCCCCACTCCCTTCCGCATTACCTATTGATCAGTTAATTCGTTCGCTAATAATTTTAAAGCCCTATATTCTCAAAACCCAAGAATGGCCTTGATATTTCTAGTCTGTATATAAAGTCATCTTACATCAATGTATCTCCTTTATTAATTACCTCCAGTTTTTCATGTATCCATTAATTTATATAGTGCTTCATATCAATTTTGTCACTGGGCAGCAGTTGGTCTTCTTTGATTATATTTCACTCTTTTCAATAACATAGTGAGTGAATACCCTTAAGCAAACCACCCACACAAAGACGCCAACTTTGATTATCACTCACATTGGTCTCCGCACTTCTAATGCCCCATGGCAACCATAGGGCTTGTGACCATGGAAGCGTGCTTACATGAGTTTAAGAGTATCCATTCTAGGATTACCAAGCAGAACACATGGTGAAAAAACTTAAGACCTTATCTGCATTTATCCCTCCTTTCCAAATTTCATTTACTTATTAATTTTTCATTATAAACATGTATTTTTTCTCTCTGTCTCAACAACAGGAACAATGTCAAACTTGCAACCAACCCAGAAAATAAAACTTGATTGATACAGAAAGCCTCAATGTTTTATATATCAAAGGAGGTAATTTACATCAATCCCAACTTCATTACTGGGGTGCATTTGGCCCTCTTTGATTATATTTCATATGCCATTATATAATGAATGCCCTTAGATAAATCACACAAACAGAGACACAAAATGTGATTGTTACTCACACTGGTCTCCATGCTCCTACTGCTGACAGCCTCCATCTTGAGGAATGCAAAGGAGAACCAATGATCAGAAGGTGGAGACGTTCTCTCCACTGGTAATGGCTTTCCAGCTTTCATTTTTTCAGTCACACAGATATTTACTAATTGATGCTATTGTCTCTTCTCCTAAAAATAGGACAGAATGGTACTTGCCACTGATACAGAACAATAACACTGACTGTTACTTCTCATTGTCTATACCCATCGTCCCCAACATGTTTAGCACCCAGGACGGGTTTTGCAGAAGACAATCTTCCTACGGACCAGGGTAGGGAGGGGTGGTTTGGGGATGAAACTGCTCTACCTTAGATCATCAGGCATTAGATTCTCATAAGAAGCATGTGACCTAGATCCCTGGCATGCACAGTTCACAAGAGGTTCTGCTCCTATGAGAATCTAATGTCACCACTGATCTGACAAGAGGCAGAGCTCAAGTGGTGATGCTTGCTCAGCCACCGCTCGCCTCCTGCAGTGAGGCCTGGTTCCTAACCCGCCTTGCACGGATACTGGTCCACAGCCCTGAGGTTAGGGACCGCTGATCTATGATTCTGTGCCAAAGGGATGATACCCTTGCCCCACTTATTTACTCATTGGCCTTAGGACTTTCAAATTATATTAATAGTATTTCAGGCCTCACCTCTCATTTTCATTATTGGACACTGCTTCACCCTTTCATGTTCATTGAATTGTATAAACTTTGTCATTGATTGTTTTGGAACAATACAATCAAAATTCATATCCATGAAAGTCCAAGAACATCACCTTAACACGTATTTAATCGTTCTACAGGACTGCACCCACCAGAAGTCACGGGCTAGGTCTCTCTCTAGGTACTAATCTCAGTTTCCAGCATCTATTTACTCATCATCTATGACTAAATATGCCGCCAGCCATCACCACTGGTTTAGGATTTGACATCCTTTTCCTATATTTGTTGATTTATTAGTTTTTCAATAAATTATAGTAAATAAATTTACCTGAGTCACAAATTCCATAGAACATTCTTAAGTATCCAAAAAAACTGTCTACAGAGTAAATTCATTCAACAACTATATCCTTCATTAATTAATCTGTGTTGTACAGATCCATTAAAGAACTTGTATTTCATATCAATCACATAGTATGCCGTAGTCAACTTCTTTGACTTAACATATTGTGTAAATAATACAGTAAATTTTTTTTTTTTTTTTTTTGAGACAGAGTTTCACTCTTGTTACCCAGGCTGGAGTGCAATGGCGCGATCTCGGCTCACCGCAACCTCCGCCTCCTGGGTTCAGGCAATTCTCCTGCCTCAGCCTCCTGAGTAGCTGGGATTACAGGCACGCACCACCATGCCCAGCTCATTTTTTGTATTTTTAGTAGAGACGGGGTTTCACCATGTTGACCAGGATGGTCTCGATCTCTTGACCTCGTGATCCACCCGCCTCAGCCTCCCAAAGTGCTGGGATTACAGGCGTGAGCCACTGCGCCCGGCCAGTAAATATTTTTTAAAAAGCCACTCATACTAAGACAAGTGCTTTGACTCTGACATTGGTTTCTATGCTCCTAACACATAGAGTTCATGGCCACAGCAGAATGCTTAAATCACCTAGGAGCTTTCATTCTGAGAAATATAAGCAATGCAAATAATAAACAGCTGAGATATCCTTTCCAATGATACATGCCTTCCCCATTTCATTTGTTCAGTCATTTAGGTATTTATTTTCAGAAATCTAGAACAGAAATTCTATTTTTAATATCTGCCTACCAATCTTAATAAAACTAGTAAAATTCAAGAATTTGTTTCTATATAAGAGCAATGTTACAGAGGACATACTTAGTCCATACTTGGTTCCATTTTTCTTCAGGTATTCATACATTTCTTTGGTTATTTGTGCACTAATCAACGTATGAAGTTACAATCAGATCGTTGCTATTCCTCATATACGTATATAGGATCAATTACATCATAGGCAGTAAACTAGTTTTCATGTTAGACCTCAAAGTTCCAGGCACAGGTGTTTATTGTCCATAATTTATACATCACCAAACTTCATCTTTGGTCCAGACTTAGGGCTCTTTTTCTTTATTCATATCTTCACTTATTGATAGATTAATTCATCAACTCACTAATAAGTAAACACCAAAGAGTCAGAAAAATTCAAGAGCAAGATTCTGAAATATCTAATATCTGTCTATAAAATTATTTCCCATAGACACTATTTTTATTTTATTAATTTAATGCAGTGTTTCACATACAGATTAACCAACATAATGTATTACATCAATTCCATTCTTAAGATATTAACTGATTATATGCCAAAATGTATAATACAGTGATACCTCTTAAAAAATACTCAAACTGAGCCAAGAATATTGACTCACACTGGTCCCCATGCACCTACCCAGGGGCAACCATACACCTTGTGACTATGAAAGAATCCTTAAATCAGTGCCAGTACATCCCTTTTAAGAAGTACAAAGCAAAGCAGCTGATTTTAAAAACTAAGGTTCTTTGTCGAACTTTGCTTTCTGTATTTTATTCCAAACCAGTCGTTTAGGTATTTATTAATTTTTTCATAACATACATGTTCATTCTGAACAAAACTAGCAACTTCAAATGGACTGATCCAAGCAATAAAATTGACTCTTATTTCCCAGCATCTATATGATTACTAGTCAAAAAAAGGTAACACCCATGGGTCCATTTCTTCCTTCCTTCCTTCCCTCCTTCCTTCTTTCCTTCTTTCCTTCCTTCCTTACTTTCTTCCTTCCTTTTTTTCTTCCTTCCTCTCTCCCTCCCTCTCTCCCTCCCTCCATCCCTGCCTCCCTTCCTTCCTTCCTTCTTTCCTTCCTTCCTTCTCTCCTTTCTTCCTTTCTTCCTTCCTCCCTCCCTCCCTCCATCCCTGCCTCCCTTCCTTCCTTCCTTCTGTCCTTCCTTCCTTCTCTCCTTCCTTCCTTCCCTCCTTCCTTCCTTCCTTCTTTCCTTCATTCCTTCTCTCCTTCCTTCCTTCTCTCCTTCCTTCCTTCCCTCCTTCCTTCCTTCCTTCTCTCCTTCCTTCCTTCCCTCCTTCCTTCCTTTCCTTTCTCCCTCCCTCCCTCCATCCCTGCCTCCCTTCCTTCCTTCCTTCCCTCCTTCCTTCCTTTCTTCCTTCCCTCCTTCCTTCCTTTCTTCCTTCCTCCCTCCCTCCCTCCATCCCTCCCTCCCTTCCTTCCCTCCTTCCTTCCTTCCTTCCCTCCCTCCTTCCTTCCTTCCTTCCTCCCTCCCTCCCTCCATCCCTCCCTCCATGCCTGCCTCCCTTCCTTCCTTCTTCTTTTTTTTTTTGGAGTTTTGTTCTCGTTGCCCAGGCTGGAGTGCAGTGGCACGATCTCGGCTCACACAACCTCTGCCTCCTGGGTTCAAGCAATTCTCCTGCCTCAGCCTCCCGAATAGCTGGGATTACAGGTGTGCGCCACCACACCTAGCTAATTGTTTGTATTTTTAATAGAGACAGGGTTTCTCCATGTTGGGAGCTGGTGTTCATTTCATGTTGATAGTATATCTCGAATCACGACATGGTTGAAGTCCACCTCTCCATCTTCATATTTGTCCAATTATGTATTTGTTTAATATTTTGATCATGCATCAATTTAAAAGAATAATATATAAAGAATAATATATAAATCCATGAATCCAAAATAAAAGGACCAGACCCTTACATATTCTTAACATCAATCTATCACTTCAAACACTGATGGTCATTTTCAAATGACCCTAGGAAATAGATTAGATTTTGTTTTCTGCAGACCTTTCAGTTTCAGACACATATTATTCACCACCCATGACTCCTAAACCATCAATCATCATTATTGATTCAGGTTCACATGTCTTTTTCCTCATATTACCCTATTTTTGCTTATTGATTAATTCTCAATTCATCACACATAATAAAATAATTATCTGTGAATCACAAATTCTTAAAGAAAAGAGGTTCTTATATCCCAAACATCTATCTATGGAATCACTTATGTCACTGAATATACCTGTTTCATTAATCATTCCCATGGTTACAAAAATGGATCAATCAACATAATGTTTCACATCAAATCCATATTTATACTGGGCCACAGTTGGCCTTCTTTAGTTATATTTAATACTTTTTAAAAACTTATTCAGTGAATATCCTAAACAAGCCACAAAAACCAAGGTAAGAACAGTGACTGTAACTCACATCGGTCTCCATGCTCCAAACACTGCGGCAGCCATGGAACTTGCAAACACGTAGGTCAGTGAAGGCACGTCCATTCTGAGAAATACAAAGTAGTTCAGACAAAAACAAAATTCAGAAATTCTCTCCATTGATCCTTGTAGTCTGAGGTATATACTAATTTGGAGCAATATACATGACACTTTAACTTAAGAAAAACAAACAACAACAAACTTTCCATTAGCCCAGAATACGGGCTATTATGTATGTTGTCTGTATGATTTTTAACCAGGGGTAACAGCCTGAACCATTGGTTTTTAATGGAATTCAGTGTTCTCAGTGTATATACATGTGTGTTCTCTTGGCACCATGCCACATTTCCGTAACCTGAGGAGGCTTCACCCTGTCTACACTTACATATTCACATCCACACACTGATCCTTTTATGGATCCATTTATTATGATAGAGTAAAAACTTATTTTTAGAAAGGCCAAATAAGATCCTTATATATTCTTAAATAATCTATAGGATTATTTCTAAGAGAGGCAATAACCTAAATTCTTTCCTTCTTGGACCTTAGAGTTCCAGACATATATTCATCATACGTGACTTATATGCCACCAGTGGACATCATTAATCCAGGCTTGGCTCTCATTTTCTTCATTTATATCATTGAATAATACATCAATAATCTAATAAAACTAAAATAAATACCAAGAGTCACAAAAACTAGAAGACAAGATTCTTGACTATTTCTAACACATGCCTATAGAACAATTTCCTGTAGCAATGCCATTCTTTCATCAACTGACCTCAAGGCTTCATACATCATAAGTACATTTTTTACATTTGGGTCATGGTTGGCAGTCACTGATTACATTTTGCACTTTCTCAATACCCTAAAGAAGAACACTGAAACTGAGACAAGAAGGTTGACTATTACATCGGTCTCCATGTTCCTAACACATGGAGGCAACTGCTGACCTCACGACCCCGGAACACCAAAATGAGCTCGGGTCTGTCCGTTCTGGGGAGTACAGAGCAGATAACAAAAAGCATCGAGACCTAATCTCTGTTGATCCTGCCTTTCTGCATTGCATTTATTCGATGATTTGGGTATTTATTAATTTTCCATATTGTAGGTGTCTTTTTCTCTTAACAGAAGAAACAATCTCTGACCAAGAAAATAAAACTGGCTCTTACTTGTTAGATTATATATACTCCTTAGTCAAAGAGGAAACACTATGATCCATTTATCTGATAAGAAGAATCAGAACCTCCCATTTTTAGTAATAATTTATGTTATCTCCTATATTCATAGCTGGACACTGAAGCTTAAATCTCTACTTTTATTTTTATCTGTTTGTATTTGTTCAATGGTTCTATCATTCACCTGTTAGTAATAATAAACCTAAACCTATGACCCCAAGATCAGAAAATTATGTTCGTGTGTTTCTGACATTGTCTACAGGATCATTTCTCATAGAAGCAAAAACGTACATTCTTTTCTTCTCATATTCATCATCCATGACTTATATGCCACCAGTGGTCACCACTGATCCGTGGCTGGGTTTCTCTTTCATCATCTGTTTCTAAATATTTATTGAATAAATCAGTTCGTCATTGATAATAAAATGAATACATGATTTTGAAAAACCCAAGAACAAGATATCTGAAGAACCCTTACATTTGTCTATAGAATTATTTCCCACAGAGACTATATCTCTTTGATTAACCTCAATGTTGCACATTATCATTGAGCCAGTTAACTTTTTATTATATTAATTTTTAATAATATAAGGAATATTATTAAACAACCTAAACCAAGACAGTAACCACTATTCACGTTGGCCTAACATAGAGGCAACACAGCCTTGATCACAGCAAAATGATCAGCTCACTGCATCCATTCTGAAGAGTGCAAAGCAGAGAAGGCTTTTTTTTTTTTTTTTTGAGACAGCGTCTCACTCCATCACCAGGCGCCAGGCTGGAGTGCAGTGGCGCGACCTCGGCTCACTGCAACCGCCACCTCCCGAGTTCAAGCAATTCTCCTGCCTCAGCTTCCCGATTAGCTGGGACTACAGGCGTGTGCCACCAAGCCCAGCTAATTTTTTTGTATTTTTAGTAGAGACGGGGTTTCATCATGTTGGCCAGGATGATCTCAATCTCTTGACCTCGTAATCCGCCCACTTCGGCCTCCCAAAATGCTGGGATTACAAGCGTAAGCCACCGCACCTGGCCGAGGAGACAATTTTTAAAAATGAACATTATTTCCATTAATCTATATTTTTCACCATTCATTTGTATGGTCATCTGAGTATTTACTAATTTTTCTCTTAATACAACAAATGTGAAACTTGCAACTAACTCAGAGCACTAACCGTTATTTATTGCTGTCCACGTGATCCTTACTCAAAGATTTATTATGCTTGGTCCATTAATTATCCATCCATTTCAATTATATTAGTATTATTTTTCTTTACTATACATTTCAACAATAAACAATATTTCACCCTCATCTATATTCATTTATACATATGTCTATTTATTCTTCATTGCTATTTTAATAATATAATATTTTTAAAATGCATAAACATAAAGAAAAAGAATAAGATTCTTGTATCTCCCTGACATCTGTCTACAGGAGTCTTTCGGAGAGAGGGAATAGGCTAGATGCTGCTTGTGATGGACCTTAGAGTTCCAGAAACGTATTCATCGTGTGGCTCATACGCCACCAGTGGTCATCATCCATCCAGCCTTAATTAGCCCTCTTTTTCTCCATTGACTTCTAAGTTATTTCCTAATGATTCATTAATTCACTAACAATAATAACATAAATGCCTCTGGGTCACCGAGTTTCAAGGACAAGATCCTTAAGGATCCTTAATATCTGTCTATATAATCATTTGCTGCAATTAGCATATTAATACTTCCTTTATTAATCATATTCATTGTTTAAAATATCTATTACTCTGCACAATATTTCACGTCAAGTCCATACACATCCCTGGGACGGGGTTGGCCTTTGAATATATTAATATATAATACTTTTCAATATTACACTGAATATCCTAAACAAATAAACCAAAGCAAAAAATAATTTTACTGTTACTCACATTGCCCATGTACACCTCTACAAAGGAGCAGACATGTGGCTCCAGACCAAGGCCAGACGTTCTACCAGCTCAGGAGCGTCCATCCTGGGACGCACAAAGCAGAGAAGATAACAGGAATAAGATATTTTTCACTGATGCATTCATTAGACCCTTCTCTTAGTCATTCAGGTATCTGTGGATTGTGGTAATACTTATCAATTTTCTTTTTAAAAAATGAACAATATCACACTTGTTCTAATACAAAATAAGAAACCTGACTGTACTGCCAATGTCATCCTTAGTCAAAGAAGACACTTAAGTTGTTTTTTTAATGGTATTCATATTTTCAATACGTTGTAATGATTTCTGCTGTCTCACCATTTACATTGAGTGGACATGCTTCACACTCCTCATCTTTACTTTTTTATATGTGTACACTGATTATCATGTCAGTGAATTTATTTTAAAGAAGAATCAAAATTCACAAAAAAGAACCCAAGAAGATGGGCCTTTTGGATTTCCAAAATCTGTCTATAGGATCACTTCAAAAGCAATAGACTGTATTTCCTCCTCTATGGAACCTCAGAGTTCTAGACACACATTATTCAGCATCCCTGACTTCTATGCCACCAGTTTTCATCATTGGTTCAGGCTTAGGGCTCTTTAGCTTAATCCTCATCTACATGTATTTATGCATTATTTCATTAATATTAATTTTATAATCCATGTAAATATAATATCCAAAGAGTAAGAACATTGAATATTCTAGAAGTTTCTATATATTTTGACAGTTTGATACCTCTTTCATGAATTATCCTCAACGTGTCATAAATGAGTTAGTAAATACCATGTTTCAACCAACCTCATATTTATCATTGGCTGAGGTTGGCCTTTTGGATGATTTTTCACACTTTATGATATTATAAATACCCTTTTAAAAGTCTCTTAAAGAAAGACATGAACTTCAACTATTATTCACACTGATGTCTAAGCTCCTAACCAACAGTGTCAACCACAAATCTCTTGACCATGAATGCTTAAGTCACCTCAAGTGCATCCATTCTGCTGAATACAAAGAGGCTATTAAAAAAAAATTCAGGCCGGGCGCGGTGGCTCAAGCCTATAATCCCAGCACTTTGGGAGGCCGAGGCGGGTGGATCACGAGGTCAAGAGATCGAGACCATCCTGGTCAACATGGTGAAACCCCGTCTCTACTAAAAATACAAAAAATGAGCTGGGCATGGTGGTGCGTGCCTGTAATCCCAGCGACTCAGGAGGCTGAGGCAGGAGAATTGCCTAAACCCAGGAGGCGGAGGTTGCGGTGAGCCGAGATCGCGCCATTGCACTCCAGCCTGGGTAACATGAGTGAAACTCCGTCTCAAAAAAAAAAAAAAATTCAAACCTTATCTCCATTGATCCTTTCCACATTTCTATTATTCAGTTATTTTTATATTTATTAATTTTTCAGAATGGAAATGTTTTTTCTCATAACAAAAAGAACGATCTAAAATGAGACTGAACCAGAAAATGAAACTGACTCTTACTTACTAGAGTCTATATGAACCTTAGCCAAAGGGGTGATACTCATGATCTATTTCTTCAAGGGGCATCAGTGTTTAAAATTTTTAGTGATAATATTTCTTACAGAATCACATATATTCATAATTGAACAATGATTCACCCTCTATGCTTAATTATTCTATCATTGATCTATCAATGATAAATCTAAATCTATTAATCCAAAGTAAGAATATGGTATTTGCACATTTCTGATATCTATCTAATTATGTTTTGTGTTGGACCTCAGAGTTTCAGACACGTAGTATTCATCGTCCACGACTCAAACGCAACCAGTGGTCATCATTGGTCCATGTTTGGGTCCCTTTTCTTCATTTGTTTCTACGTTTGTTTGAATAAATCATTAATTCATTAATAGTAACTAAATAAACATATGATTTACAAAGCCCAAGACAACATCCTTGAAAATTCCTAACATTAGTCTATGGAATCATTTCCCACATAGAGTATATGTCTTTCATTAATTGACCTCAATGTACATTAACAGTTAATCAAAATAATATTTGGTATCATATTTATAACTGGGTCATAGTTAGCTATTTAAATATGTTTTAACACTTTTTAACAGTATCACTAATACCCTGAAACAAAAGGCCCAGAGAAAAATAAGAAGTTTTGACTGTTACTTACACTGGTCTCTTTCATATGGAGGACACTTAATCGTGACTAAGGAAGAATGCTTAAGTCAGCTCAGCGCATCCATTCTGAGGAGTGCAAGGCAGAGATGATAAAAACATTAAGACGTTCTCTCCATTGGTCCATACTTTCCACTGTTCATTTGCATAGTTACTTAGATATGTATTAATTTACGGTGATATTTATTAATTTTTCTCTTAATACAACAAATGTTAAACTTGCAACTGATTTAGAGCAATAACTATTACTTATCACTGTCTATATGGTCTTTCGTGAAAGATGTAATATGCTGATCTACTTATTATCGATTTCAGTTTATATTAGTATTATTTGTTCTTATACATTTTAACATCAAACAGTAATTTATGTGTCATCTTTATTTATTTATACATGTTTATTGACTCTGCCATTGCTACTTTAATTAAAATATTTTTAAAAATTAATAAACATAAAGACAAGAATAGGCCATATTGTTCTCCTGACATCTGTCTATAGAATCATCTAAACAGAGGGATGGACTAGATTCCTTTTGGTTCAGACCTCAGAGTTTCAGACATGCATCATTCATCATGGAAGACACATATGCTGGCAGTTGTCAGCACTGGTCCAGGAAGGACCACTTTCTCCTCATTCATTTCTATATTACATACTGATTAACTCATTAATTCACCTAGAATATTGGTTCAGACCTAGGACTCTTTTTCTTCATTCTTATAGACATGCGGTTACTGATCAATTTATTAATTCACTAAAATAAAACAATAAATATCTATGAATCAAAAACTCAAGAACAAGATCTTCAAGTATCCCTAACAACTATATGGACTCACTTACTGCACTGAATATATAGCTCTTTCATTGATCATCCTTGTTGTTGTAAATTAGTCGACATAATGGTTCATATCAATTCCACATTGGTCATTAGGCCATGGATAACTCTTTTTGAATATATTTAATTTTTAAAAAATATTACAGTGAACACCCTAAACAAACCACCGAAACCAAGACAAGAACTCTGACTACTCACAGAGGACTGAGGCTCACACACAGGCTCACACACGTAGAGGCAACCATGGAGCTCGTGAACATGGCAGGATGCTTACGCATGTTCTGGTGTGCCCACTCTGAGAAGCTCAAAACAGAGCAGATGATAAGAAGACCAGGATGTTATCAACATTGTTGAGTACATCCAAATCTCAGTAAGTCAATTGTGTAGGTATATATTCATTTAATTTGGGGTAATACTTATGTCAATAAAGAATATCAAATTGAGAATATTAAGAATATCAAATTGCCATTGATCCATAATACCAACTTTATCCATTCATCATAACAGGTGAATGGATGAAGAAAATATGGTACATATACACAGTGGAGTACTATTCAGCCATAGAAAAGAATAAGATCCTGTCATTTGCAATTTCATGGATGGAACTGGAGATCATTCTGTTAAGTAAATAAGCCAGGCACAGGAAGACAAACATCTCACTTATTTGTAGGATATAAAATCAAAACAATTGAACTCCATGGACATAGATGGTAGAAGGTTGGTTACGAGAATCTGGGAAGGGTAGTAAGGGGCTGGGCAGGAGGTGGACATGGTTCATGGGTGCAAAAAAATATAATTAGAACGAATAAGACCTAGTATTTGATAGCAACAGGATGACTACTGTGAATAATAACTTAACTGCATATTTGAAAATAACTGAGTGTAACTGGATTGCTCAGAACACAAAGGATAAATTCTTAACGGGATGGAGATCCCATTCTCCACGATGTGCTCACTTGCCATTGCATGCCTGTGTCAAACCATCTCATGTACCCCACAAATAATACACCCACTGTGTACCTATGAACATTCAAAATAAAAACATAATTTAAGAGGAGTGGGCATGCCTTATACTCTTCATATTTACTTACTTGTTTTTCCACAATGATCGTTACATTGATCAATTTATAATAATAAAATCCAACTTCATAAAAACAATCCAAGAAAATAGTTATTTTACATTCCGAGAATATGTAGATAGGATCACTTCAAACAGAAGCAATAGACGATATTTCATTTCATATTGGACCTCAGCATTCCAGACACATAGTTTCACTGCAATTGATTCACACGCTACCAGTCATCATCCTTTGACCTAGCTTGGGTCTTCTTTTTCTTTTTTCTCATCTACTTTTGTTGATTATGAGTTTATAATTCTCATATAATAATAAAATAAATATGTATTAGTGATTAAAACTCAAAAAAAAAAACCCACCCCTGTAATCCCAGCACTTTAGGAGGCTGAGGAGGGTGGATCACCTGAGGTCAGGAGTTCAAGACCAGCCTGGCCAACATGGTGAAACCCCATCTCTACTAAAAAATACAAAAATTAGCAGGGCATGGTGGCGGGCATCTATAATCACAGCTACTCGGGAGGCTGAAGCAGGAGAATTGCTCGAACCTGGGAGGCGGAGGTTGCAGTGAACCGAGATCGCGCAACTGCACTCCAGCCTGGGCAACAAGAGCAAAACTCCATCTCAAAGAAAAAAACCTCAAAAGATGATCCTTCACATTATTCTAGAGATTCACATGCCTCAATGACTATACTTCTTTCATTAATTATTCTCATTGCTGCAAATATTGATTAACCAAAATAACATTTCATGTCAACTTCATATTTATCACTGGGGAATGGTTGACCTTGTTTGTTTGCTTTGAGGCAGAGTTTCACTCTTGTTGCCCAGGCTGGAGCACAATGGCTCGATCTTGGCTCACTGCAAGCTCCGCCTCCCAGGTTCAAGTGATTCTCCTGCCTCAGCCTCCCCAGTATCTGGGATTACAAGCATGCGCCACCATGCCCAGCCAATTTTTTGTATTTTTAGTAGAGGTGGGGTTTCACCATGTTACCATGTTGGGGAGGCTGGTCTCGAACTCCTGACCTCAGGTGACCCATCCGCCTCAGCCTCCTAAGGTGCTGGGATTACAGGCATGAGCCACTGCGCCTGGCCGGTCTTTCTTCTTATATTTAATACTTGTTTTAATATTACACCAGATACTCTAAACAAACTACTCAAACCAAGATGACAACAATGGACCGTTACTCACATGGGTCTCCATGCTCCTATACAAGGAGTCAACCATAGAGATCACTGACCAAAGCTTAAATCAGCTTGGGTATGTCCATTCTAAGAAGTAGAAAACAGAGCAGATGGGAACATGATTGAAATATTCTCTCCATTTATCCTTGCATCTAGAATTTATTATTCAGTCTTTTAGGCTTATCCAAATTAGATTTCTAAATATTTCACATGCTCTTAAAAACAAACATCGAACTTCCACTAACACAAAACAAGAATATTGACCACTGCTGATGTTATCCATATCCTCATTAGCAAGAGGCAACACGTTGGAGCCATGTGTTACTTAACTGACTTAATGTTTTCCATACTATTAGTTCCTCTTGCCTCACTCATTTCTTCATAGCTGAACCATACTTCACTCTCTTCACCTTCACTTATTATACTTGTACATTAATTCTTTTTCACTAAAAGGGTTAATTGTATATATTTGAGGTGAATAACACGATCTCTTTATTGGACATGGATACTTTTATTGACCTATTTATTATAATTAGAGTCCAAATTCATGGATTCTAATTATAATGATTCTAATTCTAATTATCCATGGATTTGGATTCTAATTATAATAGATGCCAAGCAAGATCCTTGTAAAATCTTAAATCTGCCCATAAGGTCATTGTCACCAGAGCCAATAAACCGATTTTCTTTTTATGCTGGACCTCAGAGTTCCAGACACGTATTCATCATGCACGACTCATACGCCACCAGCAGTCATCATCGATCCAGGCGTGGGCCTCGTTTTAGTTTCTTTGCTTATCTGGTATTTCTTTCACTCTCCTCTACCTTTGTTTACTAATTAATTCATCAATTATCTGATAATAAAATAAATCACCACAAAGCACCTAAGCCTAGAACATGAGTGAGCCTGAAAGAGGGCTGCATCTCTACATAGAATCACTTTATCTCTTTAATTAATCATCCTCAAAGATGATTAATCAATATAATGTTTCATATGAATTCCATATTTATCACTGGGACATGGTTGGCTTTCTTTGATATTTCAAACTTTTCAAATAAAGAGTATATGTCCACAAAAACTCACATTGGTTTTCATACAGAGGCAACTATATATCTGTGACTACCAAAGAATCCTTAAATCAGCTCCAGGGCCAACCTAAGGAGTACAAAGCAGAGCACCGATTAAAAGAAAAGGAAGACTTTATCTTAATTGAATCCTGCTCCCTATTTAATTTACTCATTCACTTAGGTGTTTATTACCTTTTTGTAGTTTATGTGTTTTCTAGACAAAACATACAACCTTAACTTGGTTTGAACCAGAGTAATAAAGTTGACTATTCTTTATCAGTGTCTATATGATAATTAAAGGTAACACTTTGATCTACTTATTTCTTAATGGGAATAATGTTTTCAACATTTATTAATAACATTTCTTGCCTGACCCCATATATTGATAATTGAACAAAGCTTCACCATCTATAGTATAATAAATCACACTTATTGATTTATATATTGAATGCTTCCATGATTGATTTACTTATAAGAATACTATCAAATACGTATTAAGAATAGACAAAGATTTTGCTCTTTTATTTTGGATTTCCATCAGAGTAATTAGAGTAATTAAACCAAATTTTTTAGTGTTGGACCTCAGATGTCCAGACACAAAACATTATTCATCCTCACTGACTACGCATACCCCGACAGTCATTATCCAGGCTTGGGCCTCTTTTACATCATTCATCCCTGCATTTCTTTACCAGTTACTTTATCAGTAAACTAATAATATTAAAGTAAATATCTACATATCTAAAACACTTATAAACAAAATCCCAAAACCCTTGGGAACAAGATGCTTAAGTGCCCCTGCTTTTTTATTATTGTTAATCATCCACAGTGATATTAATTAATCAACAGTTTTCATGTCCACCACATAGCTACCATTGGGTCACCAGTGGCTTTCTTTGGTTATTTTAAAATGTTATAGTGAATCTTTAAAAACCTACCCTAAACAAATACAAAAATACGACAAGAAGATTGACTGTTACCTCCATTAGTGTCCGGGCTCCCACCCGGAGGCCACCACAGAGGGCGATCACAGCAGAAGACGTGGGTCTGCCCGTTCTGAGAAGTACAAAGCAGGGCAGATAAAGAAAATAAAAATGGAGACATAGTTTTCCTTGATCTATGCATATCACGTTTCATTCAGCCAGTCATTTAGGTATTTATAATTTTGAGTTAACATTTATTAGTTATTTTTAGAAAACTAACAACATTGATCTTGCCACTGACACAAATCAAGAACGCTCTCTGTATATTGACTGTTATTTCATAATAGACCCCATTGTTTTCAATATATATGAGTAGTTCTTTTATCTATTCATAGAATTTTTGTAATTGAACAGTACTTCACTTATTCATATTTATTTATGTTTGTTTATAATAATAAAATCAAAATCTATGAACACCAGGCCAAGACCATGATTTTTTTTTATCCCTAACATCTGTCCACAGCATCACTCCCAATAATGGCAATGAGCTAGGCTTCTTATTGCCAGACCTCAGACTTCCAGACACGTATTATTCATCATCCAGGACTCATACGCCACCAGTCATCATCATTGGTCCGGGTTTGGTACTCTCTCTCTTCATTCTTATCTGCTTTTGTTACGGACCAATTCATTTACTCTCTGACAATAATAAAACAAATACTCTTGAATCACAAACTCAAGGCCAAGATGCTTAAATATCCTACATCTGTCTTCTAATTTGCCACATCCACACGGTTTCACTGATCATTCTCAACATTTCATATATGGCTTAGTTAATATAAGATTGCAGTGCATAATAGTTCAATGTATACCATCTTGCCACGCATGGCTTTCAGTGATGACGTTTCACACTTTTTAAATATGGAGTGAATACCCTTAAAAATGGCATATTCAACCAAGATGAGACTTTAACCATTATTACTCACATTGGTTTCAGTGGACCAAACACACAGGGCAAACGTAATCATTTCAAATGCACCCATTCCGGCGAGTACAAAGCAAAAAAGGTGATTTTTAATATAGAGACATTATCTGCATTGATCTCACTTTCCACATTTTATTTATTTACTGGATCATTTAGGTATTTATTAATATGTGTAATTAGGTAATATTTTACTTGTATTGATTTACTTGTACTTGTTTATTGACTATTCCAATGATCTATAGTAATAGCACTTATTATTTGCACTGACTACATAATTATTAGTCAAATAAGTTATATTTTTAAACCATGTCGTGCTTAATCTATTATCTTCTAATATATATTAATAGGTTTTATTGCCTCATAACATATTTTAATAATTGGATGATGCTTCGCCTAGCTGTATTTATTTATATTTGCTTGTTGATTATTTTTATAATTTTAATATACCCAGTTATAACGATAGAATCAAAACCTGTGAACACAAAGATCAAGACTATGCTCCTTACATATATGTGCCATTTATCTACAGAATCATGTCCAATAGAACCAGTGAACTAGATTATCCCTGTGTGGGACCACTGAGCTTCAAACACATAATATAATAATTAAATAATGTTACAAAAACTTAAGAACAAGAAATACTTTATAGCTAGCTACAGGATCATCTGTCACAGTGATTTCATCATTAACCATTTTTAATTTTGTAAATATTAGATAATCAACATGTTTCATGGCAATGCCAGATTTATCACTGGACCACAGTTAACCTTTTGGATTATCTGTAATGCTTTTAGTAAAACAATGAATACCCTTTAAAAACCCTAGAACCAGGGTAAGAACTTTGACTATACTCACATTGGTCTCCAAGCTTCTAACACACAGAGGCAGCCAGAAACCTGGCGACCATGGAACACAGCTTAAGTCAACTTGGGAGCATTCGTTCTGAGAGTACAAAGCAAAAAAGATGAAAAGATTAAAATGTTCTGTCCATACATTTCTCCTTTCATTTTATTCGTCATGTAAGTATGTGTGAAACTGTATTTTTTCCTGAGAAAACAAACAACAACGAACATGGCCCTGACCAAATGACCCGCCATAAGCTCTTATTTTTACTGAATATGCCATCCTCCAGCAAGGGAGTAATACCTTTGAGTCATTTATTTCTTAATAGAAAGAAGACCTCAGTGTTTTTAATATATATGAAGAGTATTTCTTATTTCACTATATATTTCCATAATTGGACAATGCCTCACTCTTTTTATCTTTATGCAGTTACATATTTGTTTATTGATTCATTGAACCAATTATAAAAATAGAGGGAAAATGCATGAACACAAAGACCAAAAACAACATCTTTGAATATTCCTAAAGTCTATGCTTTGTATCGGAACGTAAAGACTAGATTTTTATCGTATTGGACCTCAGACTTCCAGACCTGTATTCATCGTCCATGACTCATACGCCACCAGTCATCATCATTGGTCCAAGATTGACTCTATCTGTCTTCATTCATGTGTACATCGTTTATTGATCAATCAATTCATTAATAGTGCTGTAATAATAAAATACATAGCTATGAACAGGGAAATCTTAAGAATCCATTTATACTTAAGTAGTGAATAATAAAAATGCTTGACTTTATTTGATTATATTTTAGACTTTTTAAGAATACAGAGAATACCCTTAAGACAAAACAAAAATGTTGACTACTACTCACAAGAGTCTTCCTGTGACACACAGAGGTAACGTAGAGTTCATGGTCACAGCACAGTGCTTACATCCGATGGGGCTGTTCATTCTGAGGAGTACAAAGCAGACCAGTCAATAAGATTGACTATTTCTTACACGCAGTGTCTTAAGACACTTAAACAAAGAAGTAACATGGTTGATCCACTGATTTCTTGAGACTTTAGTGTTTTCTATTAGTAGAGTTTCTTGCCTGATCACATTTATTCATAGTTGAGCAATGCTTCAATCTTCTTTTCTACTTGTTTATATAATAAAATCAAAATTTACTAACAAAATCCTTGATATTAGACAAGAACTTAACACAATCACTAACAGCAGCATGTGTTCCCCATACTCACACAGGCAGCCATCAAACCATCATCGGTGGAAGATGATTGGATCACCCATCATGCCTCCATTCTGGGAAGTACAAAACAAATGTTAGAAAAAATAAAAGCCCTGTGATTTTTCCTTCTGTTTATTGGTGTCATGTGTTACTGGATTAATTGAAATTTTTGATAGGTAACAGAGTTTTATCACTCGCTTATGATTGCCCTATGGCTAGCTCTCAAAGTTAACTTTTAGTAGACTAGCAGTACGATAAACCTCATTCCTAAATACAAGGAAAGAGCTATGTCTCTAATGAATAGCTGTCTCTATGCCCCTCTCACATAGATAACAATTTAAGTTCACTTTAAAATGACCATACCTGCTTCATATTAACCCCATACTCTTAACTGGTCAAGGCTTCATCATCTTTCATTGACATTGTCCATATTTTAAGGACGTGACAATAAACAACTATGAACCTGCCATTTTACTCCACACTGACAGTGTCCTCCATCTTGGAATGTGACTAAGCTGTCTTTATAGAGGGAGCTTAAGATCAACTGCGACTCAAATAAAACTGAATAATTAATTTTTACATTAACCGAATAATTAACTATTAAAAATGAAAAAGATGGTCCTGCATTTTTCTCCTTCACTGACCATAGATGTGCTGAATCATTCACACACAAACGTCATTCATTTAACGGTATACATAGCCATTTATTCCTTTCCAGCAAGAGTTAACTCTCATGATAACCACTAAAGCAAAAGCAATCACTTTGTTACTTACATAGGTTTCTACACTCATTCATTACTCAAACAGACAACAACCAGGATCTTCTCGCTGGAGAATAATGGAATCATTGCACATCCATTCTGTGGAGTACAAAGTGAATATAAAAACAGGTTAGATGACAGAGAGAGAGAGACAGGCGGACAGAAAGAGAGAGAGAAAGAGAGAGAGAAGTGGATCAGCCCAGATTTAGATTTTTTAAAATTCAGCTCAAGTCATCCATTATTGATTAGGAATAAACCCTGGTACTCATCATATATTTGAAAGATGAATGACATATCCATTGATTCACTGATTCACTGACTCACATATTAAATTTACTATCAGTAACACCAGACAAAAGAAGAAGAACTGTGACTATTAAACTTGTCAGTCTCTTTATCTGCCTTCGACCCAACCAGGAAAGAGTTAAATCTCCTTTCTGCATGAATCTGGCTAGAAAGAATTAAATTCATCTAAATCCTAGATTCAAGTACATTCTCATCAACTGTGCATTGTGCATGCGTGCATACATACATATGAAATTAAACAGTTACACATGGAGTCATTTGTCTATCCCGTGTTTTAAGAAAACTGCACCAACAGGACTGAAAGGGAAATGCTATGCAAATGTAGAAATATATTCACCATTCCAAAAATGCAAGAGCTACGTCAATTTTGTTTATGAAAATGATGACAGTTCTGGTGGGCAGTTGTATGGAACTGGATTAATCACTCTTTCTGTTCCATAATACCTGGCCCTCATTGGTTCATGATTTGGACTTATTTTAAATAACTGGTTGAGACATTAATTTATTATTTTTACATTTGTAATGAAATCATTATATCTGCGACTCCACAGAAACTGGACAATATCAATGCTTGTCCACATGCTCATTAAACAGAAAGTTCACATCATTTTCCTTGTTTTTGTAAATTAAACTGAGGAACTGAATTTAAATACAATGAAGATTATTAGAACTCATTATAATTGGTCATTTGACATATTCTCAAGACAGATCCATGTGTAAACCCCTCTCGATTAGGAAGTGATTTAATCAATAATTAATTTAAGTAAATATTTTGCCTTTTCTTTAAAAAACAAAAAAATGAACACCGTAGCCCAGAACAACAACCCGGACTCTAACATCCGTCTATCTATATGCTCCCTACCCAAAGGGTAAGCTTTGCGTAATTTACTTTACCGGGACTTGGCGCTTCAGAAATGTATTAGTGATGATTCTTATTATTTTATGTATGCTCATATTTGGAGCAGGAATAACCATTTTTTTATCTATTTATACAGCACTTTTCTTGTTTTATCCATGTACTCCTTTACTAAAAATAACACAGTCCATACTCAGAAGCCCAAGAACTAAATGCTGATTATTATTAGCTTTTGGAATAAGCTCATTTCCCATAGAGATAATGAAAAGTTCTCTTTTTGTAATGGACCTCAGAGTCACAGGGTTTAATCAAAATCCAAGATTCAGACACCCCAGGATACTCATCATTGATCCAGGATAAGCAATCTTTTGCTTCATTGATACGTTTGTTTATTGATCCATTCACTGATTCAGTAGCAGTAATAAAATCAACACCCATTGTTATTTTAACACCCAAGAACAATATCCTTGAATATTGCCAACACCTGTTTGCAGACTCTTTTCGCACAGACTAGTCCTTTTCTCAATAGACTCATCTCCTTTTGTAGTGGCCCACAGTGAAGCAAGCACAGGTCACTGAATGTCCTCGCTTCCTCGCCATCTCATTCCACTTATTTTTCCCCTTTCCGTGCATTCCTCCTGCATTAAGGAGCTGTCTAACAGGAGTTTGCATATAATGTAAATGTACCGTAACTAGATTCTCCGAGACAGTCACCAATGGCCACATATAGCTACTGAGTACTAGAAATGTGGCTAATGCAACCAAGAAATTAAATTTAAAAGTGCCTGCACCTTTAACTATTTTAAATATAAACAACCACATGTAGATGGAGAAACAACATTGAACAGTGCAGCCATAGACTTCATTACTGAATAACTCTTAAACACAGTAAAAGGGAGATGAATTATTAATCAGATGTAAAAATGAATAAAATGTATTTCACCTTATTTTTAACCAGAATTGTGCTTAACTGGACTAACCATCAGCTTAGTTTCATAACATATTCATATCACTGATCTACATATAGCTTAGCTTGAAATAATTCAGTAAACATTAATGAAAAATTTACCCTCATTGACAAGTTTTTTGACTGTTATTTACTTGTCTTTAGCTTCCTTACCCAAAAAGGTAACAGCCAAGATCTTCATCAACAGAGACTGATTAAATCAGCCACAGTCTTCATTCTGTGGAGTTTGTTAATACAAATTTTCAAAAGTATGAACAGTGCAGATTTAGACTGACTTAAAAGACATTAGTTGTGTGATAATAAATTAATCATAAAGTTGATTCAAATCCCATTTTTATCATTGACCCAAGAACTGAACTTATTTTTATTTCTTGATTTAACTATTAAATAATAATAGTTAAAATAGTTAATAGTGTTTAAATAATACAATAAACACTGTTAAATTCAACACCCAAAACAAAACTAAACTATGATATTCATCTGTCTACAGACACCAGCCTACATAGGCAACTGCTTAGATCATCTTTTTTATTTAATGGTCTCAACATGTATAGAAATGGATGAATTTAAATTCGTGATTCATGGCATATTTTCACCAATGGTAAATGATTAACCCCTATATATTAATTCAATCATCTATTGTTTCGATTTCTTCATTTATGTTATGACTCATGGAATATTCTATTATACATTCACAAATACTAACACACACACACACACACACACACACACACACACACACACACACACACTGCAGTAAACTCATGAAGAACCCAGGGCAGAAATGCTTTTCATGTTCAATGTCTATAGTCCCATACCTAACTAGGAAGAGAGCATCAGTAGTATAAACAAAGATTAACTTTCATTTTCATTTCTTACCCAACTGTGATATGCTCCCTTTTAAAAAATTAACTGTGATAAGGATGTATTCTATTCACATATAACGATTCAGTATATGGGAATTTACTAACATTATAGAAGAAGCTTGAATAATATTATGTCTCCACATGTCCATGATGCTATCCAGGGAGATCGAAAAACTAGATGCTTTTTTTAGTATTTAATAAAACTCAGTATACAGAGTTGGGTTAATAATAACTTTTCGATAGGAATATTCTCAAGTTGAAATGTGCTCATTTATTTCCAATTAAACAACTGCTTAACCTATTATTTACTTAATTTTCCCTTCTCTAAATAAAACCAATCAATAAACAACCAGCAACATCCAACAATTATTTCGTGTCCTGCATACATCTGTTCACATACTCCTTCCGAAACAAAGCAACAGCCTTTATCAACACTTATCACAGGGATTCAGTGCTATAGACGTGTATAATAATAGTCCGTGTGTCACTACATATCTCATAACTGGTCTATGCCAAGCTCTCCTTTTATTTACCCATTTATGCAACATTTATGCATTGATTTACTTATAAAATGGAATCTATACCCATAAACTGTGACTACCTGTGATCAAGATACCTGAATACTGTGAGCCTGTGCTATAACCTTATTTCCATAGAGGGAAAAATGGAGGCCACTTTTTAAAATGGACCTCAGAGTTACAGATGGCTTTAATCAAAAGTTTTGATTCAGACACCCTCCAATCTCATCATTGGTCCAGGCTTGGTACTCTTTTTCTTCATTCATGTATACCTTCATTTTCCCATGAATCACAAATTCTAAGAACAAGATCCTGGATATCACTACAACCTATCTCCAGGCTCAACTTCCACAAAGCTGTCAGACTGGATCTCAGTACCACACGTGGAATCATCAATGAGCCTTGCTTCATATCAGTACTATCAATATGGATGGCCGATGGCTGGGCTGTGTTCATTCAATTTGTCTAATTTTAGAGGTGATATAATGAACAATCAAAATCTGCAATGGTATCCCCCACTAGAACACAGGCGGCATGCTTCACCTTCCAAGAGCTTCTCCTGAACAGTTAACAGCCTGAATCTCTTCCAATATGGAAATGTTTAAATCAAGTATGGTGCAGAAATACTACAAAATATCAAACATTTGAAAAGTAAATTCCTTCTAGCTTTTTAAAAAATAAGCCTCTACTGTGCTAAAATGAATCAGTCCTACTCCTTGGCCTACAACACATTCCTATTGTTGGCTGTTACCTGATGCTTTTATTTTTGTGTATACGGCCTTTTGCTCCTTTCTCAATGATCACACATGAGCCAACCGCGTAACCCACCAACAGAAATTCTATTACTAACATTGCTCCTTACCCACAGAAGAAAACGCCATGTGCTTCACCTTGGGGAAATGACCAAATCCAGTCTGCTCTACTCATTCTGCAGGAAAAGGCAGATTTTTAAAAGGATTAAAAGCATAAATTTTTAAATCTATTTTTAAGTAGAAGTTACTTTGCCATTACTGGATGGATCATAAACATTGGTTTGTATCAAATTTTCACCATCAACCCAATAGTAGTTCTTTTGAACGTATTAACTTAATTCTTAGCATGAAATAATATCGTGAACATTTTTGAATCTACCACGCAACACAAGAAGAGCAATTTTCAGTATCTGCTGAGGTATTCCCAGCATAAAGGGAAGACACATTTTTAATGCGGAAAACTTTTGCACTGTAAGATGAATTGAAATTGTTGTTTTATAACACAATCTGACCAGTGGGCCACAGTCATTTGAATTCAAGCTGTTTACTTTTTTGTCTATTTACTCATCTATTTAATGACCCAAAAAGTAATTCAATTATGTACTCTTTTTTCTAAAGAAAACTCAAAATAGTGAAGCCACCTGCTACCTAAAACTAAATACTGTTACCTGCAACGGTTCATATTAGCCCTGTATGTGCTATTGGAACATTCCTTAGTGATGTGAATGTTCTGTATCAGCAATTTTGAAATGGTGGCCAATTGCTACATGTGGCTTGGGGTGTGGCTAGTGTGACTGAAGAACTGAATTTTTACTTTTTATTAATTTTCATTTAAATGTTAATAGTAAAATATGTCTAGAGAATGGGTCTCTACAACCCTTCCTAAGGAAGGAGGGTCCTGGACCTTTTTCATTCAGGTGGACTTCAAGAGGACAGACAAGATTAATCACACGCCTTCATACACTACATAAGCTTCTCACTAGTCCACGGTTTGCCCTCTTTTAAATAAGGGATGGAGACATAAAATGATTTTTTTATTCATAATAATAGTGCCAATATTCGTGAACTCAAAGGACACTGGACAAAAGCCCTGCATTACACTAACGTCTATTTATTCACTTACTACTCATAAAAGTCATCAAAAATGCATTTGCATCTTTCTTTTCAAATAAAAATTAGCAATCACAAGAGGACTTTTAGCTACTATATTCAAATTTTCAATATTCATTCTTAGACTTTTTCCACATTTTACAACCTAATCATTAGTATTTTAATGTTTATTAATGGTATTAAATTGGTTTTTATTAAAATAATTTATGTTAATATATTTGTCATGATTTATATTATTGAATATAAATATTAATTATATTAGTTATTATTTATTATATTAAGTATTATCAAACTAAATACATCATTTATTTATGTTTTATCCCTTTCTAAATCAAACAAGATATGCAACCAGAAACTTGCTACTAACTTGGAACACTGTGTGCATATTTATCTATATGTTCTCAAAGGAGGAGTAGACATTTTATTTTATTTGAACTCAAAACATAATTAGCTCCTTTCATAATTGAATGAGATGTAGCCTTCCTTGTCTTTATCTGTATTTTTCTTTATTCATTCATTGATTTACTTATAATACAATCTATGCCCACTAACCAAAAAGAACCAAGAACACATTCCTTGAATACATCTAACTTTCTCCCCAAGCACATTTCCCATACATGCAATGGACCTCAGAGATACAGACAGGGTTTAATCAGAATATTTGATTCAGATGCCCCACGCATACTCATCATTGATCCAGACTTGGAATTCTGTGCTTCATTCAGTTATGCTGATCTTGAGTTACACATTCATTCACTAACAGGAAAATCACTATCCAAGAATTAGAGGGCATAAAATCCTTGAAGATGTAACTGTGTATGTAAGATTCATGTTCCTTAAGACTGAGGACTGGCTGCCTCTGTAGTGAGCCTCCGTGTTGCAAAGGTGAATTAATTCATTTCCACAAACTGCACCACTTCAATTCCATATTAGCCATTACTACGGTTGGGCTTTTCTCATTTAACATCCATTTTTGTAAGATGGCACCATGATTATACCACAGCTGTAGGCAAGATTTTCCGTTTTCTTATGTTCTCCCCTCAATTAGTTCACAGTCAATAACAATACCAATGGGGAAGTGTTTAAATCCACTACGGTACAAAAACGGCGTATTAAGGCATTCCGAAAATCACAGAAATACCTTTCAACTTTTTGTCCTAATGAATTTGATTGTGCTGAAATGGATTAATCATAATTCTTAATTCATAACACATTTCTACCATTGGTCCATGCATAACCACCTTTGGCTCATTTATGTATGTAGCCATTTATTCCTTTGAAATAATTCAATGAGGCCAGGTGAGATGGGGCATCCCTGCAGTCCCAGCACTTTGGAAGGCTGAGGCAGGCAGATCACAAGGTCAAGAGATCGAGATCATCCTGGCCAACAGGGTGAAACCCTGTCTCTACTAAAAATGCAAAAATTAGCTGGGTATGGTGGCATGCGCCTTTAGTCCCAGCTACTCCGGAGGCTCAGGCAGAAGAATCCCTTGAACCCGGGAGGCGGAGGCTGCAGTGAGCTGAGATTGCACCACTGCACTCCAGCCTGAGTGATAAGAATGCGACTCTGTCTCAAAAAAAAAAAAAAAGAAAGAAAGAAAAAGAAAAAAGAAATAATTCAACAAATAAACATGCCATGTTTCCCAAGCAAGAACATAAAGTTTGATTTTTACTTACATCAATCTCTTCTCTCCTGATTCACAGAGATAAAAGGCAAGATCTTCACCAGAAGACTATAATTAAATCAGGTAGAGTGCGTTCATTCTGCAGTATAAAAAGCAAATTTTAAAAAGAATCAAAGACTCTATGTTTAGCTCTTTAAAATCAATGACAGTTGCGTAGTAAACAGCCATCAGCCTTGTTTTGTGCCTATTCTGAACACTTGAGAAGAGAGAGCACTTCTTTCTATTTATTATCTTCCATAAATTGCTTTTGTCAAGATGAAGTATCTCTCACCATGAATTTTTGTGTTTTAGGTAATATAATAATCACTAGTGAATCTAGTACCAAACTTGTTTAATGTTTGTTTACTCAAGTAAAATTCCATAAAAGATTGAATTAATCATGAGTGTGTTTGTATGCAGATCTCATCACTGTTCCACGCTTGCCCTCTCTCAATTATACAGTTACTCAATCAATTATTTATTTATGTAAATGTATTTCCTTTCCCTTAATAAAATGAGCAGTCGGCAACCTGCCTCAACACAGAACAAAAACATTCAGTCTCGTGCACAGATGACCATATGCTCCTTACCAAAGTGATAAGGGCCTTAACTATTAATTTACTGGGACTAAGAATCTCAAAATTGTTTTAATAATAATCCATGTTGCATTACATGCCCTAAGAGATAAGTGCATGCATACCTTTCTTATTCTTCATTCATTGATAAAATTCTGTATTCACGCATTATAATAATGTAATTCGTACCCTCAAACCACAAAGGCCCATGAACAAGGTTCTGTAGACTCATTTCCCATGAAGAATAAAGAGGTGACTTTTTGTAATGGACCTCAGAGTTGCAGATGGGTTTAATCAAAATTGTTGTTTCAGAAACCCCATGACATTCATCACTGGTCCACGATGTGCATTTTTTTCATCTATTGATTAACCGATTGACTCACAAATAATGATGCAATCAAAAATCCCCAAAACAGGATCATTAAATTTTAGGCTCTTGGCCCATAGAACTACAGACTACATTTCTTAGACAATGACACTTAAAAGTGTACATGTGAATTGATCAACACCCCTGAATGCTACCAATTCACATTTAGCATTCATTTTTATATAGCCCACTTCTATTTAATTCATCTATTGCCAAAAAATAGATGAAAAACAATGAAATTGCCATATTACATATTCTTATGGACTGCCCCAAAACAGATGTCGGCAGGATCTGTACCCATAAGGGGTAAAATAACCATGGCATAAAATAAAGGATAATGTTGAGCTGCTCTGAGAATACATTAACTTTTGTCTTCTTTTATAATCACTTCAGTTGTCACAATTTAGATTAAACATAATCCATGGTTCATTACACATTCCCATCACTGGTCCATTTGGGGTGTTCTATTTATTTTACGTATGTAGACATTGATTTCTTTGAAATCCTTTAGCTAACACTCAAGAACGAACCATTCAAAGGAAGAACATGAAACAAGGAACTTACTTATATTTGTCTCTATGCTCCTTACTCAGGATAACAATTCTTTTTTAAATGATTGAATCAACTGGCTTATATTCACTCTGGAGAGAAAAAGGCAGATTTAGAATAGATTTAGGTTTTCTTAAATGGATGTTAGTCAAGCAGAGCTGAATAACAATAATCCTTGGCTCCAAAACACAACTGCTTTTCAGGCCAGTATTGAACTTTTAGTTTTAAGTAGCATAACACACACTATTGAGTTCATGACCTAGCCCAAGAATAAGATCTATAATGATTATGAATATTTGTCTATATAAAAATCTGTTAAGTAGATGTTACTTAATGGATTTCTGGCTGATGCAAACACTTTCCCTTTTCTTAATTAAAAAAAGCAAAGAATAAAAATTTAAAAATTGTCTCAACTACAGATACAATATGTTCCATATAATAGGATTTTACCTCAGATTAATAATGATACTTGTTTGATTGCCAGTATTAATATTTATAATACTTTTTCATTTTACTCAAAGAATAGTTCTATGAGTAGGCCTGTTCATCTTCTCTCATGTATACGCTTCTCTATTTATGCACTGAATTCACGTAAAATAATACATGTCATCTCTTTGAACCACAAAAGTTCAAGAACAAGTTTTATTGAATTTTCCTAATTCTATTAGGTAATTTCTACAGAGAATACTGGCTGATTCTCATTCAGTAACAGATCTCAGAGTAACAGAGGGCTTAATCATAAGTGTTGATTCAGACGCCTCCACCAATACTCATCATTGATCCAGGCTAGGCAGTCTATTTCTTCATTCATTTATACCTTCTTGAACTGAAACATTCATGGTTTCAGGAATAATAATTACATGATCAATACCCTTTAATGACACAAAACTGCGAACAAAAGGCTTTAACAGGACCAAGATCTGTTCATTACTCCCTTTCATGCAGAGGAAATGAACTAGATCATATTTTGCGATGAACCTCAAGTTCACACATACAGATTCATCAGCGCCTTTGCTTCATTTAAATATCATACTTATGATTGGGGTGTACCAGCTTCTCTTCCACTTGATTTGTCTACTTATTAATTTGGATGCAAAGCATGGACCTACCATGTAAGCCCACAATTAAGCAAATTAATATCTAATATCTTCCAAGGTACTTCTACCTCAAAAAGTCAACAACTTAAATGTTTGTCAGTGATGGAATATGTTGAGCAACTACAACAAAAACATTAAATGGGAATTTAAAATACTCTGACAACGTATGAAATGCGCCTCATTTATTTAACAATCGTCTTCAGTTGGGTTGGGTTGAATTAATCCTAAGATTTTGTTCATGACACATTACAATCATAGGTCTGTGACTGGCATTTCCTTGTTTCATGTGTTATTTAACAATTTGTTTTATCAAAATAATGTAGTGGGCTCCCATAAATGAATACCATCCTAGCCCAAAACATCAATTTGATGTTTACTTACATCAGTCTTTCTACTCATTAGTCCACAAATAACAATAATGGTCTTCATGATTAGAGAATAATAAAACCAGCTACATGGTTTTCATTCTATAGAGACAAATAAAGCCTCTTTTTAAAAACATGTTATCATTTTTCTGAGAAACGAAATTAGTACAACTTGGAAAGGCCCATGTATGTATTCCAAAACCAATGAAAGAGCCTAGAGTTTTTCCAAGAATATCTATCATGGAAAAAAACATGAAGTGGCATTCTCATATCATAATATTTGTTCCTAACTGGTCCATGGTTTGCTGACTCTAAATTACAAACAGAGATGTAAAAGTACACCTGATCTCTCATATACAAAAGGCATCAGTATCTGTGCTCTCACAGCACTGGACAAGAACACTGAAGAATATTTACATCTGTCTAGAGTCATTGCCCTCAGGAAGAACAGACTAAGTTTCTTATTTTATTTGTTTAATAAAAGTCCATTAAAACAATGAGAACACATGGACACGGGGAGGGGAGCACTACACACTGGGGTCTGTTGGAGGGAAATAGGGGAGGGACAGCAGGGGGTGGGGAGTTGGGGGGGATGGCATGGGGAGAAATGCCAGATATAGGTGAGGGGGAGGGAGGCAGGAAATCACACTGCCACGTGTGTACCTATGCAACAATCTTGCATGTTCTTCACATGTACCCCAAAACCTAAAATGCAATAAAAAAAAAGCCAAAAAAAATTAGATTAATACTCTCATCCTTGGTCTCTGCTTGGTCTCAATTAAGTGGTTATTTAACCAATTATTTACATGACTAAAGATGTTTCATTTTCTTAACAAAACAGTTAGCAACCCACAACCAAAACAGAACAAAATGTTTGACTCTTGCATACAAATAGCTGTATGCCCCTTACCAGAAGGTATAAGCCTTGGATGTAAATTTACTGGAAGTCTCAGATAAGTTTTAATAATAATCCATATTTCATTATATTCATTGATAACAAGTATATGACTTATGCTTTTTGTTTTAATCATTGGTAAATTTTTTATTCATGAACTGATTTTATAACAAAAATACAATCCATCCCCAAGAACCACAAAGCCCAAGGACAAGACACCACAGGCTCCCTTCCCAAAAAAGGAATGATTACGTGTCTCTTTGTAATGGACCTCAGAGTTGCATATGGGTTTAATCAAAAATCCTGTTTCAGATACCCCATGGTACTCATCATTGGTCCAAGCACGTTTTTCTTCCTTTATATCTTCATCATTTATTATTCATTGGTTCATGAATAATGATACAAGCACAAAATTCTAGGAATAAGATCTCCCCATTAGTGGCTCTGTCCCTAATGATTAGGTCTCCTTTTACAATGGACCTCGGAGAACATGGATGATTAATTAACATCCATGCTTCATATCAAATCCTCATTCACCATTATTTCTTCTGTAGTCTTCTTTTATTCAATTTGCCCATGTTTTAAAGATAGTGCAATGAAAAGCTATAAAACCACCATCTTCCAACACTGACAATGTCTTCCATATTCTCTCAGGCTGCCACACAAAGAGTTATCAGCCGGGATCATACCAATATGGAAAAGATTAAATCATTTGTGGTAGAAAATAAGATACAATGTTAAATAGTTGTGAATATAAATGGTCTAACTACTATATTTCTTATCACTTCAGTTGTGCCAAATTATATTAAACACATTTTCGGAACACATTTGGTCCATTCCTGGTGATTTTAATTGCTGTTATAGACATTGATTCCTTTGAAATACCACTAAACACTATTGAGCAAAGCATTCAAACCAAGGATATGAACTTGAGGTGTTACTTACATTAGTATCTATATTCTTTACCCCATGGATCTAACTGCCAAGATTTTGTTTCTTAGAAAATGAATTTCATCTATCCTGTGGTTGTTATGTGGAAGTAAAGTAGACTTATCCTAGAAGAAGAAGAAATAAAAGGCATCTTTATAGGAAAAGAAGTGAGATTGTCTCTACTTGCTGATGGTATGATTTTATGTACAGAAAATCCAAACTATCTCACAAAAAAACAGTTAGAATTGATAAATGACTTCAGCAAAATTGCAGGATACAAGATCATCAAAAAAATTCATTAATGACTCTATATGATAATAGGTCATTAACTTAAAAGGAACTGAAGAAAATAAGCCCATTTACAGTAGCACCAAAAATACTGTCTAAATTTAACCAAGACAGTAAAAGACCTGTATACTGAAAACTATAAAATACTAGTTGAAAGAAATTGAAGAAAACACAGATAAATGGAAAGATACCTTGTGTTTATGGGTTGAAAGAATTAAGACTGTTAAAATGTCTATACTACCTAAATCCATCTACATGTCCAATTCAATTCCCATTAAAATTTCAATGTCATTTTTCATAGAAAGATGGGGAAAAATCCTTAAATCCATATAGAACCACAAATGATACTGAATAGCCACACACATACACACAAAAAAAAATATTGAGCAAAAGAACAAAGCTCAAGGCATTCCAATCCCTGACTTCACAATACATTATAAAGAGATTATAATCAAAACAGCATAATACTGGCCTAAAAACAGACACATCAGCCAATGGAGTAGAATTAAAAGTTCTTTTTAAAAAACTCACACATTTACAATCAATTGATTTGGGACAACAGTGCCAAGAGCATACAATGGGAAAAGGACCGTATAGTCAATAAATGCTGTTGGGTTATCAACATGCAGAATGAAATTAGATCCTTATCTCACCCCATATACAAAAATCAACTCAAAATGGATTAAAAACTTCAACATAAAACCTGAAACTGTAAAACTACTAGAGGGAAAGCTCCACAACATTGGTCTAGACAATGATTTTTTAATATGATCCCAAAAACACAGAGAACAAAAGTAAAAATAGACAAATAGAATGTCATCAAATTAAAAGCCGTCTGCACAGCAAAGGAAACAATTAAGGAAATGAAGAGACCACTTCCAGATCAGGAAAAAGGAATTTGCAAACCATACATCTGATAGGAGTTAACATGCAAAAATATGTGAGGAGCACAAACAAGTCAATAGCAAGAAAACCCAATTTAAAAATAGACACAGGATGTGGATAGATGTTTTCCCAAGGAAGACATACTAATGACCAACAGATATGTAAAAAAAAATTCTCAGTCACTCGAATCACTAGGGAAACACAAATTACAACCACAATGAGATACCATCTCACATCTTTTAGAATAGCTTTCATCAAAAAGATGAAAGGTAACAAATGATGCCAAGGATGCAGAGAAAAGGGAACTCTTCTATATTGTTGGTAGGAATGTAATTTAGTATAGCCATTGTGGTAAAAGTTATGGAGGTTTCTCAAAAAATAATAAAAATAGAACTACCATATGATCCAGCAATCCCCCCCAAAGAAATTGAAATCAAATGTCAAGGGGATATCTGCACTCCTATGTTATTGCACCATTATTCACAGTCTCCAAGATACGGAACAAAGTAAGGTCCAGCAAGGGATGAATGAACAAAGAAAATGTGGAATATACACATAATGGAATACCATTCATCCTTTTAAAAGAAGAAAATTCTGTCATTTGTGACTGTGTAGATGAACCTGGAGGACATAATGCTGAGTGAAATAAGCCAGGCACACAAGGACAAATATCACACATTCTCTGAGTTGAACTCATAGAAGTAGTGATTAGGAGGGCCGGGCGCGGTGGCTCAAGCCTGTAATCCCAGCACTTTGGGAGGCCGAGGCGGGTGAATCACAAGGTCAAGAGATCGAGACCATCCTGGTCAACACGGTGAAACCCCGTCTCTACTAAAACTACAAAAAAATTAGCTGGGCATGGTGGCGCGTGTCTGTAGTCCCAGCTACTCAGGAGGCTGAGGCAGGGGAATTGCCTGAACTCAGGAGGCGGAGGTTGCGGTGAGCCGAGATCGCGCCATTGCACTCCAGCCTGGGTAACCAGAGCGAAACTCCGTCTCAAAAAAAAAAAAAAAAAAAAAAAAAAAGAAGTAGTGATTAGGGTGATGGTTAATGGAGGATGGGGTGGGAACAAGGGAGAGAATGGGGAGTTGTTGATCAAAAAGTACAAAGTCTCAGGTAGACAGGAGGAATAAGTTCGACATCTACTCCAAAGCAGGGTGATTACAGTCAATGATACTGTATTGTGTATTTCAAAATAACTCAGAGTAAATTTCAGATGTCTCACAATAAAATGATAGGTAAATGACAAAAATGATGGATATGTTAATTAGCTTGATTTAATCATTTTACATTGTACGTATATATCAAAACATACCATTGTGCCCTATAGATATATAAAATTATATTTTTCCATTTAAAATAATATTGATATTAACTTTCAAAAAGAAAAGAAGATCTAGAATTATTAATGTAAGCCTCCATCTTAGAAAAAAAGAGCAAATTAAGTCCAAAGTAAGCAGAAGGAGGAAAAACGAAAACTAGAGCAGAAATCAATGAGACTGAAAACAGGAAATCACTAAAGAACAATCAACAACAACCAAAAAAATGGGTTCTTTGGAAAGTTCAACAAAATCAAAAGGCCTCTAGGTAGCTAGCTAAGAAAACAGGAAAAGTCACAAACTGCTAATATCAGAAAGAAGGAACATCACTACAGACCCCATGGACATTAAAAGGAATAATATAAGCAACTCTATGCCCACAAATTTGATGACATTAAAGAAATGTACCAATTCCTTGAAAGACACAATCTGCCAAAACTCATACAAGAAGAAAATGATTTGAATAGTCCTATATCTATTAAAGAAATTTAATCAATAATTACCATTCCAAAACAGAAAACACCAGGCGCAGATGAATTTGCTGGTTAATTCTTTCAAACACTTAGGAAGAAATTATATCAATTCTGTACCCTCTTTCAGAAGATAGAACTACTTCCTAGCTCATTCCCAAAGGTCAGCATTACCCTAATACCAAAACCATTAAAAAAAATTCAAAGAAAAAAAAAAACTATAGGCCAATATTTCTCATGAGCATATATGTTAAAATTCTCAAAAAAATATTACCAGCACAACCAGGTAGAATTTGTAACATTTATGCAAGCTTGGCTCAACATTTCAAAATCAATTAATTTAATCCATTACATCAACAAAGGAAAAAATACCACATGATCATATCAATAAACATAAAAAAGCATTTGACAAAAATTCAACGCCCATTTATGATTAAAAAATAAGGCTGAGTGCAGTGACTCACACCTGTAATCTCAGCACTTTGCAAGATCAAGGTGGGTGGATCACTTGAGGCCAGGAGTTTGAGGCCAGTCTGGCCAACATGACAAAACCTCATCTTTACTAAAAATACAAAAATGAGTTGGGCATGGTGGCACATACCTGTAATCTCAGATACTTGAAAGGCTTAGGCAGGAGAATCGTTTGAACCCGGGAGGTGGAGGTTGCAGTGAGCTGAGATCACACCACTGCACTCTAGTCTGGGTGACAGAGTGAGAGTCTGTCTCAAAAAATAAAAAATAAAATAAATAAAATAAACCCTCAGTAAGCTAGGAATCATGAAAATTTTCCTTAGTAAAAATATGTATAAAAATCTACAACTAACATTATATTTAATGGTAAGAAACTCAAATTTTTCCCATTAAGATCAAGAACAAGGCAAAGATGTTCTCTCACTACTGCCTTTGAATATCATACTGGAAGTTCTGGTGACAGAATAAGACAAGAAAAGGAAATTAAAAGTATACTGATGACCAGTGATGATGAGCATTTTTTCATATGTTTGTTGGCCTCACATATGTCTTCTTTTGAGAAGTGTCTGTTCATATCCTTTGCCCACTTTTGAATGGGCTTGTTAGTTTTTTTCTTGTAAATCTGCTTTAGTTCTTTGTAAATTTTGGATATCAGCCCTTTGTCAGATGGGTAAACTGCAAAAATTTTTTCCCAATCTCACTCATAGGCGGGTGTTAAACAATGAGAACACATGGACACAGGGAGGGGAGCACTACACACTGGGGTCAGTTGGGGGGAAATAGGGGAGGGACAGTGGGGGGTGGGAAGCTGGGGAGAGATAGCAAGGGGAGAAATGCCAGATGTAGGTGATGGGGAGGAAGGCAGCAAATCACACTGCCACGTGTGTTCCTATGCAACAATTTTGCATGTTCTTCACATGTACCCCAAAACCTAAAATGCAATAAAATAAATAAATGGGAAAAAAAAAAAGTATACTGATAGAGAAAGAAGAAATAAAACTGTCTTTGCAGGTAACATGATCATCTATGTAGAAAATAAAATCTAGGAAAGAACTAACAACAATAAAAAGCTTCACGGGACTAATAAGTGATTACAGTAAGGTTGCAGGATACAAGGCTAATATACAAAAGTCAGTGCTTTCCAACATGCCAGTAATGAACAAGTGAAATTTTAAATTAAAAACATAATACTATTTGCATGAGTACAACCAAAAATATAAAATAGGTATAATTGTAATAAATAAAATGTGTAAATATTCTATTATATATTGTTATATATTGTTATATATTACTGTATAATAGGAACACAAAATAGAATATGATAAAATAAAGGTATAAATCTAGCAAAACATGTACAATACCTATATGAAGAAACCTACAAAACTCTAATGAATATAATCAAAGAAGAATTAAACAAAAGAATATTGTAACGATGTCATTTCTTCCCGGTTTGATTCAATGCAATCCCAATAAAAACCCCAGCAAGTTATTTTGTGGATATTGACAAAACTCTCCTAAAGTTTATACGAAGAGGCAAAAGACCTAGAATAGCCAACACAATATTGAAGGGAAGAACAAAGTTGGAGAGCTGGCATTACCCATATTCAAAACTTACTACTAAGCTGCAGTAATAGACAGTGTGGTATTGGCAAAAGAACAGAAAAGAGATCAATGGAACAGCACAGATAGCCC